GTTACCCACAGATTAGAGCTTCAACGATTATCATTCAACCCCTAGGCAATTATTGCTTGAAGATGTCACCGGATCTGAACTCCCTTGCCCCATCCCGCTCATCTTCAACCTCCTCCTCAATTCCGCAACGTAATATGCCCCCTCCTGCAACTGGTCCAGCGCCCCTCAACCTGAACACCGCCTCACCAAGGCCTTCCCATGGCTCAAGCATACGCCGACCGTCGGTATCCGAACGACGTCGGTCCGCTGCGGGAATGAATTTGAACGAGATACAGGGCACTAGTCCAGGAGCTAGCAGTGAGTTACCTGCATCAGATTATCGCGACCATCGCAGCTCGATCGGACATGCATTTCGCACAGCCAGCCCATCCAGCCACGGTGGAAGTCCCATCTTCGCGACAGCCGATCCCCATCATCATCGAGCACCCTCATTGGGAGAGCTACACCAAGAGTTAGAGCAAGAACAGGAAGCACAAGTGGTGGGTTCATTTACATCCCCGAAAGCTAAATTGATGGTAAGCTAACTCGGCAACCATGATGGAATAAAGAACCGTCTTCTTCAGATGATCCGCAGCCAGCAAGCCCAATTGCAGCAATATCAGCAGCAACATAACCCGCAATCAACCGCTGCAATCGATGATACAACCCCGGCATCGGAACGGTCGGCCTTCTTCCCCCCTGGCCCAGCAGCACCTCCAGCAAGCAATAGGTTATCTGTGTCTTCTTCATTTTCAACCCGCCGAAACTCACGACCTTCAAGTCAAGCGACGTCGCCGAATCTGCGACCATTAGACTCGCGTGGACCGGAGAGCATGGAGCCATTCTCGGGCTTGCGGGATAGCCAAAGTCGGCGCGGGAGCCGGGATGAGAGTGCCTTTTACCAAGCCGAAGCGAGCTCGCTAGCCCGAGAAAATGTGCTCCTTAGGCAACGGATCCGGGAACTAGGTATGAAAATCCCGGGATGGCGTTTTTAAGCCAATTGCGCGGAGTAAACCCGCTCCGGGATGCAGATCTCGATTTAAGCGCATTTACTAATTTGGTTCACAGAGAGACAAATCGGTGGTCTGACGACTTCCCAGAGCGCGTCATCTGCGACAACTACTTCGGGAATTGCGTCCGGACAGGCGGGGACCGAAACCGCGGACCCGCCTGCCGTGGGTTCGACGCGAGACGGCAAAGACTGAAACTCGCACTTGGCGCGTGTCTTGAGTCGACCCCACAGATTCTGATTGATACCGGCGATTCCCCGGATGTCAGCCTAAAACCATGTTCACCACTCTACCCAGTAATGGCTTGACGGAGAATAAAAGAAAACCCCTTGGCCCCCATGCAACGAATGTTGCACCCTTATGTAATCCTGGCACAAAGGTTTTCGCGAAGGGTCGAATCTTTTGAGTTCTGGCCGACGTTCCAATTTTCCAGGACAGGCGGTGTTTCCATTTCTTTTGTGAAAATGCGCAGTGTGACTTTATGTGCTTTGTGTCGAAGTTGCAGTGTGATTTATCTTATGCATGCAGGATGTATGGCCTGTTGCTGTTACTAGCAACCCTTCCCGTTGGAAGTGTGGGGGTCTCACTATGGAAAAACCCGAAATTAAATATAGAAATCCATGACAATACGTGTTATGTGGTCTTTATTCACTATTCTGGAAGTAAAAACTTGGAGGTTCTAATTTAGACTCGTGGACTACTGCGTCTTCTCACACAGACTTAGCCATGTTGCCAAGGTAATCTCTCGGGGTCTAGAGAGCAATTCCTATGTTCTATCCAAGTCTAAAGTGGTCCAGCCCAAAAAAAGAAACACGCTTCTTCAAACTCGCCACAATCCCATCCGGATCCTCTCTTCTCACAGCCCCAAAGTCAACGAATCACAGATTCGAGAGATGACAGGAGCAGAAGCAAGAACAAACTCATTCTGACAAAAGCCCGGGGTCGTGTGCCATGGTAGAAGTGCGTTTCCTATGTGACCTTGACAAGGGGAAGGCGGATAGGTGAGTCGTAGTCGCGAAAGGTTGATATGGTGGAGTTGTGTCTTGATTCGTAGTGATTGAAGATGAAAATGGTAGAGATGTAGTCATGGCCTTGATTCCCCAATGTGGGTGGCTTCTACTACACTCTTGGAGCTGCGTAGGCTTCTATTTTCAAGCTTGGATGTGTCTTGAGATTACAGAACTGGGAATTTATTGCGGTTGTGAAAGTGCGATTGTGAGAGAAACCATGAAAAAAAAAGCATTCTTCGATCCAATCTATCCTCTCGAAGAACAGGAATGTAATGCTAGATGCAAATCATCTTTTGCACAATAGCAATGTGAAGATACAAGAAATTCCAAGTTGAAAACAGAAATAAAAAGATTTTCTCTATCGCGCGCTGGGAGGAAGAAAACAACAACTCGAAAGCGCCAAAATCAACAAAACTTGGGTATACGTTAAACAAGTCTATAGCTTCGGCTTCGCAGCCTCGGCAACCAAGTCGGGCATGAGGAGGTCACGAAGCTCAGTGGCAGCCTCATTGAGGTAGTGGCTCATACGCTCAGCACCGAGACGTTTGCAGACGATGTTGAAGTTGAGGCTGGGAAGGATGAGTTAGTGATAGGCACAAATACAAAACAAGGACAGGGGATGCTTGGTGCTTACCTGTTCTCGTTGATCATGTATGCAATTCCGAAACCATCATCAATAACCTGGCTCCACCCGTATCCGTTGAAGTACTCGGAGCTCAGTTGGGAGGTGGAGAGGTACCAAGAGGAAGAGTAGGCGTATGCGGGATCCTGGTAGATCTCGGGCAGCCTCTCGCCGGGCTGGAGAAGCTTCTTCAAACCGAACAGATGACGGTCGACACCGTGGCCGGAGCTAGCCTCCTGGGTATACTTAGTGTGCTGGGCAAGGGCAGCGCGGAACAGCCTAACGGTCTCTTCGCGGGGGGTGGTGTGGTCCTCATGGGCCTTGCAGAAGGCGACGCTCTCGTCAGAGACACTGCGTGTAGTCTCTGTTCGACCTTCGGCGTACTTGCGGGTGGAGGCAGATTCGTAGGTGGGACGGTTCTTGCCGTACATCTTGAAGTAGGCCAGCTGGATGGTCATCTGGACGAAGGCGTCGGGGCTGCACTTGAACTTTTTTATCAAACCCTTGCCGTAACCCTGGTAGGCCTGGACGACCAGCTCATGGGAACCAATCTGCTTGCGGTGGTATACGGCTGCGACGTTGATGGCCTCGTTGGCGGCGTCGTCCAGCTTGAAGTTGATAGGCTTGGGGTCGGCGAGCTGGGACCGCACGGACTGGGCGGAGAGGTCGATCTTTTTGTTGAAGATGACATTGTTGATATAGTCGTTCAGGCGGTGGGTGGGAGTGCCGTCCATCATGCTGTGCTCGCCCGTGAAACCAGCAGTACCATTGTCATTGATAATGAACTGCAACGGCTTGTCGAACCAGCGGTTTGAGCCATCACCGTGCCAGTATTGCGAGCAGCGCTCAGGCAGAGTGACGGGGCGGGCATCGTCCAAACAGACTACGAAGCCAGCAGACTCAATATCTCGCAAGGCCAGCTCATTAGCGGGGTCAAGAGAAACGAGGGTTTTGCGAGCAGCCGTCCAGTGATCACGGTCGGCAACAGTCAGCACCCCAACGGGCGGCGCGGGCTGTGCAACCTCGTAGATGCGCTCAAACTGCTTCTCCAATTCAGAGACATTAAGCTGCTGACCGTCTACGATGAGGGGAATCTTGAAGAACTGGTTCTTGCGCACCACGACGATGTGCTGGTTTTCGGCGGCGGGATACTTGCGAGGGAAATCCGAGCCCTCGGCGGGGATGCGGCAGCAGTTGAACATGTACTGATACGAGCTCATGGCCTGGGGCTCCTTGCGGAGGTACTCGGGCTCCAAAGAGCCATCATCGACCTTAGCCTTGAACTCAAGCGCAGCGGTGGTGATAGCGGCAGCGCGCTTAGCTGGGTTGCGACGCTCGCGGTCGTCCCGGTAGGAGTAGAAGTAGGAGACGTAAGGGATAACGGGCTCGCGGTAAGCGAGGTAGGCGGCCTGGTTCCACCACTCGGCGAGCCAGTTATTGATCTTGGGATCGGCGGCGCGAGCCAAGAGACGCTTCTGTAGAGATTCGCCCTGGCCACCGGGGCGGACGAATTCCTCTACGGCATTCTTGGTGCGCTCATACTCGGACTCGGAGACGACGGCGTGAACGGACTTGAGGTACCGACGGCCGGTCTCTTCTAAAGAGGGAACAGGAAGCTGGGGGAGAGAGTCTTCAAAACGAAGCATCTTGCCCTTGGAGAGGTCCTCCATGTATCCTATTCTTCTGTTAACAAGTCCGATTCTTATTTGGGGATAGCCCGCATTGCGCCGGACGCAAGTGTTGCTTACCCTCAGGGACGGAATATACCGTTCGTCGGGGGGTCATTGTAAGGGTCTATATGCGAGTCAATGGATTGATTCCAGGGATATTTCACAGCATTTTTAAACGACAGCATCTGTAATTAGAAGAGGACCTACCGAGCGGGTGAGGAGGGAGTTTGGTAGGCGTTGCCTTGATAGGGTAGAAAGGCGGTTTCGGGCAGAAGCAGTGAACATCCCTCTGGTTAAATGAAAAAAATCGGGTTACGGATATGAAGAGAAGTGAACGCGAACGTGAAGCTCAAAGGGAGAATAAGAAGAGTTGGCCGAGTGACGCCCAGAGAGCCTCGGCTGGCGGGGAAGCCGGTAAACGCGGTACCGGGGGAGAGGGGGCACCGTACGTTTGTAGTACTCGATGTATTTCAGTCAGTCTCGTTCGAGCTATCTTTCCCCATGGAAAGGAAGTGTAATAGTGAGAAGATGAGAATTTAAATAATCTAATAAGTAGTTGGCTTGTAGTTGGTCAGTGTCTTTTATCTAGATTCAATGTTCCCATTGTGTTGACTTGTGTTGTATCCGTCTGAACTCGGCTCATCAGCCCCTGCAAAAGAATACGGGAAATACCAATACCTCCTCCACCGAGCCTCGGTCCATTTTCTTGTTGATTCTCACAGTCACAGGGAAGAGATATTAGTCTCCACCTCAGAATCTTAGACTGTGAATCTATGTCAGTAGCATTGAGTGTGTCTGGAAACGGAGTATGACCTGCAAAAAACATCATAACCCACAAAACCCCGAACGTCAATACTCCGGTTTTCCGGGCGATCACATTGCGGGGAGAGCTTCTAGCGTAAATGTATAAACACGGGATCTTGGACAGTCTCAATGCAGATACGGAGTATATACGTAATAGAAAGAAGAAACATAAAGATGGCGCTAGATTATGTATAGATGGGGAAAAAAAAATAAATCAAGGAAAATCTCCCTTTCATCCGATCCCATTGACCCGGCCAAAAAGACAGAACAGATTTGAATAGGAAAATGACAAGAATGAAAAAGCCAGCCAACGCCATGGAGTCCCCAAAAATTACACAGACTAGGGTCCACGGGGGAAAGGTCATACAATGCATCTGGAGCCGATGTTGAGTACAGTGTAGGTCAAGCCCAGACACGCCATCATGAGACTGGCTGCACAGCTGCCGGTTGATCCTGGCCATCGATAGCTCGAGGTACCTGCACTCCGCTGCGACGTAACTCATCCAATTTAGCCATGGCAGGCCCCGTGCAGATACGACCGGTTTGCATAAGAGCGCGGAGACGTTTCCGACGGGCCTCGCCGCTGCGCTCTTCGCCACGAGCCACGCCCTCATCGACCCAGTCCACGGCATGGACCTTAAAGCTCATTCCATCGTGGCGACCGTCCCATTTGCGGGACTTCAGCCCGAACATGAGGGCGCTATCATACTGGGCCACACGGGGAAGAACTAGCAGGGTGATGTGCAAGTCCTTGTCAGTTGGGGGTATCGGTGGGAGGCGTGGGCCCTTGGTCGGGGAGGCACCGTCAGTGGTGGCTTCGGGTGCCGGTGCATGCTGGTAGGTATCTTTGATTTCGAGATCGAGCATTGCCTCGTCCACGTCGTCGCCCCACGCACCACGAATGAAGCCGGAGTGGATGGCAGCGGCGACAGGGTCCGAGTCATCTGTATAAACGCCGGTGCCCCAGAGGGCGCGCCGGGCGCAGATTTCCTCCCGGTGAGATTGATTGATTCGGAACCGGGGGACTCGGACGGTAAAGGTGCAGTTCTCTCGCTGTTCAAAGCGGGGAAGGGGCTGGGGGGTTGTGGTATATCCAAACTTGGAGCTGTCCAAAGAGGACTTGGCAGTGGGCGTACTGATGCGAGGCGTGTAGAGCGTTGAGCCAAGGTGGTGCCGAGGAAGATGGGCCACACTCGAAAGCAACGGTTCCAGGTTCACGGTAGTTCGAGGCTCGCGGATAGGAGATGCAGCTGGAATGGTGGCTGGTCGAGAAGCATGGTGATGACGGTGATGGTGATGTTGGTGGTGATGGTGTGCAGCAGGAGGATCCGCTGGAGATGTTCGATGGAAGAAGCTGGGACGTTGAAGGGAGCTCAGGGTAGCCGCCTCTTCGTCTGCCTTGTGGCGATGGTGGTGGTGGCTAGAGGAGTGTTAGTATGTTAGTATATGGATGTTATGAAGTGTACTTTATCTGGTAGAGCATACTGATGATGATGGTGGTGGGAATGCCGAGAGCGGCGGGCGTTGCGTGCCGAAAGTAAACCTCGGGCGTCATTAGCCTCAATTTCCATCTGTTCTTCGTCACGAGACTTTCTCGACCGTTTGCCGGCTGCTGAAGATGGCCGGGCAAGCTTGGACGCTTCATCCATCCCTTCTCCGTTCATCGAGCGACCTGTGACGCTATCGCGCTTGAAAGGACTAGTGCCCAACGGTGTTGATGGTCCGCTGCCACCAGTGGCTGCGGTGACACCGCCAACCCCACTGCCAATGCCGGAGAACACTCGCCCTAGTTCATTTTTTATGGCCGGTTCTCCAGCGGTGCCAATGTATGGAGCTTGAGCGCCCTGTACAGCTTGGGGAAGGGGTGATGCCCGGCCACCGCGTTTCCCATCAACGCCAACGGCTAGTAGACTGCGATGATGGAGCAGCTCATCGCTTCCTTTGCGTCGACCCTCATCAGCCAGGGCTGCTAGACCCGATGATGCGACAGCTGTCGATGCGGTCACAGTAGGGGTTGATCCTATCCGTGGAGGCTGCCCTTGATGCCTGAGATATGGATCATAAGGCGGAGGAGGAGTGGGTTGATTGGTTCGAGACTGAAGGGAGATCTGAGGCTGTCTACTTCCTCCTGGTTGCGATCCCAGTGATTTAGTGTAGCTCTGAATGGCTCCAAACCCGAAGCCTGAGCCGTGCTCGGGTGCAGGGAAGCGCTTGTTCTCCGGTGATGGAGGGTGAGAGCGACCTTGGTCCCATGTGGAGCCGCTCTGGTGACGATCGAGCGGCTCGCGTTCACCGTAGTGGGAGCCATACCGATGTGATCCAGGCTGGTTCAACTTGGCATCTGATCCATGGATTGGAGCTCGTTCTCGTTCCCGCTGTGCAATTCCCTCCGAGCGCCGCTCGCCCAATATGTTTGCAAACCGACCATGCTGTGGATCATGACTTCCGTACGACCCAGATATAGCCCGAGAACCGGACTCGAAGGGGCGATCCGCGACCCCTCCTGGCTGGGAGATCGGACTGTAGCCGGGGGGTCTTGTGGGCGCGTCTGCATGGGGCGGTTGGCTACTGGGCCGAGTGATCGGACCGTTGAGACTCATGCGGCGAGGTTCGGAGTGCGGTGGCTCTGCCGTGGAGATTCGAGGCGAAGGGTGCGTCGAGTGTGGCTTCTCGGGATACTGTGAGAGCGACGAGCGCGTCAAGCCCCCGAGCACTGACTGCTCTCCTCCCAGACTCGAACCACCCCCACCGGACTCAGACCGGTATGTACGGGCGCCTTGGGGCTTGGAAAATGGCTTCTCCGGTGTTTGTGAACGACGGAAGAAAGAATTGTCGAGCGGCGAGGGTCTTGCCGGAGCGGAGGGTGGGGACATGGCGGCGGAAGATGATGATGGGGGTGCATTCCCGAATATCGACGAGGCAGGTGGTCGCGAAAAAAACGGCGCTGATTCTCGTGCAGGTTCTCGCGCAGCCCGATCTGGGTCCGAGCCCAACATAGCAGAAATTGACATGCTGCTGCCCTGTCGATGTGCCTGAACGCCAGGTCCATCGCGCGACATCAAAGACATTCCAGGCGTGTGGGTTTGTTGGACTCGCGAGGAATATGCGTGTGGAGGGGATGGGGGTGGCATTTGGCGATTCCCAAACGCGGGTGGTGCGGACTGTTCGTTTGGGCCTATCAGACGCGTTTGTGTTAGTGAATGCTTGTTGATACAGCGAGGGGATTCCAGAATGGTCGCGCAAGTCCCGATCGGATGAGTGACGAAATCCATGCATCGCGACCAAAAAAAAACGGTTGCACGGGGCTCTCGGGCCCAAGTCGGGTACTAACCAGAAAATCCTGCACTCCCACTGCTGCCCTGTGAAGTCCGACGCGCTGTTCCCTGTTGTGCTGGGGTATGATTCATAACTGATGCACCTAAGAGCCCTGTGAGCGAGTGAGTAACAGTTCAAAAGGGAAAGCAAGGGCCAGATCGAGGAGAACCCGTGACTCCGAAAGCTCTCACGCTAGTCTCAAAAGGGTAGGGGGCTCCTCTTGACACGCTAGACCCAATCTGAACTAGCGCTCCCGAGCTGTCGTCCAGTCGATCTGCGCCACCGGGGAAAATCCATCAGGGGCAGTGTGTTGGGGCAAGAGAACGGGGGGGGGGATGGAATTGTTGGAGGGAATAGCATCTTTAACCATCTGTATCAGATGGCTACAGAGCCCCATCTCTTCGGTCGCGCATACCCAGAAAGGGGACTGCAACAGGCTGATGAAGTGGAAGCCAACCACGGCGCAAGTCCGATCCTTGGAATTCTCAATCTGGGGCTTTGGAACCATCTGGACAGAGGGAAAACAAACACACAAACTAAAGAGATTGCCTACCTTCACGATGTCGAACAGCCTGAGGTTGTGAAACATTCCTCCGATGCGTTTGTTCATGATTCCTTCTCTCGAGACTCCCATGTCGACGGTGTGCTTGTGTTGGACCATTTCTCGAAAAGTATGCGCTGGAAGGATCTCCTCGAGAAGTATTCGAGGTCCGTGAAGTGGTTGACTGGTAAAGCTGTGCAGGAGAGGGTGTGGTGTTAGAGGAGGTAGAAGGGTATGGGTGAGACTTGTCAGTCTCTTGACGAGACTCGGCAAAAGGTGCAGCGAACTGTGGATCGCGAGGTTCTTGCGAGGCCCCTAAAGGCGAGGGCCGTGGCGGGTATGAGTGCTGTAGGCGTCGGTAGTCCATGTCCAAAACAGTGTTTAGCAGCAACTAGGGTGAGATCGAGAAAGAAAGAAAAGTATTAGAGAATAGAATGGTGGTGGAACAGTGAAATGCAGAAGAAAAGAGAAAATGGAAATGGAAATGGGCCAGAGCTGCAGGATCAGCGGTTGATCGCGCGACCCGGATGAAAGCACAATGGGAACGTGCAGAAATAGGGCGTTTAGGCGGAAATGTGTGGACATGTGTCAACAATCAACAATTCGCGAAGATCCCACTTTTAGCGAAATTTCCTAAAGTTGGGGGGAAACGGAGAAAAAACGGTGAAGCGATGACGGTGTCTTTAGCGTGGGCCTCAGAGCCAAGACCTTTTTTCTTGCATGCGGGGATTGTGTACATTTCGGTATATAGATGTGGATACATTTGACATTAATTAAATAGAAAGAAGAGAGACATACGGAGTACGGAGTAGATTTCCAAGAGTTACATTCCAAAAAAATTCTCTTCCTTTTAATAACGTTCAGGATTTATGCCCAATCCACAAATCTATTCTTTCAAATCCTGGAGTTTATGCCTTGTATTACCTGTTCCTTATGTCCTGGGATAAGTGCTAGACCTATTTGGAGACTTGCATATGCAGGAAAAAGATGCTAAGATGACCTTGTTTGGGCGTAAAATTTGATTATTCTATTGCATGGCTCTCTTACGGGCTTCGGGTACATGTCAATCTATATTTAACCTCTACCCTCTTCAACCGAACACACTTGTTCAAATAAATCTGATGAGATATCGAAGAACTAAATTCAAAGATAATACACACAAAAAAAAAGGGAACCAATTAGAGGCGTTCAAAGGTCATAGGAGACACAAAATTCAACATTTGACTGTGGAACCTCACTCTTCACTTGCAGTCAGCATTTCCACCCCTATCCCACTCTAAGCCATGGCGCTCTGGGCGCGCCCAAGCGAGTAGTTAACGGGGATTTCATTTCTGGTGAAGATGAAGAAGCCGTATAGGAAACCATTTATAAACTCATCAATTAAAGCTCCAGCCTAAGACTGTAGGACTAGCAATGATTATTGACAAGAGAGTTAGGGTAGCCGAAAGCAAGAACAAGTCGCAAGTTAGGTTGAAAGTTGCTGCAGTTTGGTAGGCAAAGCACATGCTTTAGAAAAGGAATGACGAAGCTAATAATCAGCGAATTCATACCAGTACCAGGTGGAGGATTTTGATCAATAGAGAGAAGGCTATGAAGCTTCTCCAACTGGGTGAAGTCACGAGCATGAAAACGAGCCTAGACAGTCTGCACGCCAGTAATGCAATTAGCATATCACTAAGAGATAAAATGGTGGCGACCAAAAAAGGCCGTGGTTGAAATAACCCCCAGCTCATACCATCTTATCAACACGCTTATTCTCCGCGGAGATTTAAATAGGCGAGATGTAATCTGCATCGCTAGCAGCTCGGTTTCGGGCTGGTGACTGTGGCTGAGCATCGGGGTCGAAGATGTATTTGATTCTTTCGGAAACAGTGGCCACTCATAAGCGGAGTATATCAATCCTCAAGGCTGCCTAGTTCGAAGACTATGATGGTATCGTCGAAAAGAATATAGATGAAATGGCGATGATGGTAGATGGGTAAGAATAACAAGGGCAGGGGAAATAGAGAAGACCATCTAATCGCCACTTGACATCTCAGCCGGAGAAAGAGCACCGTCCATTGCCGCACCCAAATTTGTCTACTTGTCTTTCCACATTTCTGCCCTGCTGCTTGCCCTTCTCCCTGTTGTCTTTTCACTCCACAACACAGTCTCATTATCTTAGTCCTCCCCACCTACACACGGCTTGGATGAGCTTCCGCAACGCATCCACGCTTTTTTCAGCTTTAATGTTAACTCCATTCGGCTGATCCTTGAAAGACAACATGACAGTTGGAGCCTGCTACTGGAGTGGATACAGCTCTTACTGCTGTCCTTGTCATGGTCAGGGACAGCCCGATGTGGCCGAATCCTCGTCGACCTCGTGCCTGGAGTGCGGACATCCACTGAGAAATCATTTCAGAGTTGGGTGTAAGTGATTCTTTCAGTCTGTTGATTTGATTTTAACGTTTCTCTAGTCCTCCCAAGTGAGAATAGTGCTAGCCAGGTCTTCTTACCAAGACATCAAACCGTGAGAAAGCTTGCCAATCGCATCCTCGAACAAAGAGTGGTCCTTGCTCGTGGGACCCCCTCTTCGGGAAAGACTTTTCTCGCCCGATCTCTACATACCTACCTCCGTGGACAGGGAGTCAAGTCAATTTACATTAGAAGCTTCCCCCCTAGTTTAGAGGGTGGTCCCTCCGCGTTGCATTATCTGCTCGAGGCCTGCCACATCCAAGGGTTTGCGGCACTTGGACACAGCTTCTTGCGCGACAACTTTGTATTCCTCATCGATGACGCCCACACGACCTACAATAACTCCGAGTTATGGTTGGTTCTGAATTCGATGAACCAAGATCGCCTCGCGAACGTAACAGGCGCCAGTTTTTGTATGTTCAGTGCATTTGGTACCCCTGATAGGGGTGTTATGCCACATAATATGGGAAGTGACTTGCTGGTATTCAATGAGCGTCAACGTCTTGTCTTGTCCGAGCGGTTTGACGAGGATATTTCTATTTTCTACACCCAGGAAGAGTTTCATCTCTACATGGAAATGCATTTCCAGGGTCGAGGTTCCGATTACGAAGTCTGCGAGATCCTGAGAGATACAATCTATGGTTTAACCGGCGGCCAGCCTGAATTGATGGATGCACTCATGCATCTTTGTGACATGGTATGTGATCATCAAGCATTTCCAGTCTTCTTTTACTATGTTAACACAATGCCAGTTGTATGAGGCTTTCTACAAGGATGATGATCTGGACATAATCAGCCATGATGACTGCGAAATTCTTCAACTCTTTCAAGTTCGTGGCATCCTGGAAGGAATCATCGCAGTGTTTGTAAACTTTGCGGGTCTCCCGCTTTCGCCCGAAACCTTCTTCCCCCCTGAACAGGAGTTTGAAGTTCTTCGCCACGCTCAAGAAGCCTGCGGCCAAGGCTTGCTGTTCGACCCGCAAAGTGAGGCTATGCTATCATGCCTCACGAAAGGGTGGCTGCACATGGAAGAGACTCGAGAAGGAGAATTCAAATGTTACTTTCCAACCAAGTTTCACAATAGGTACGATACAAGTAATTTGCGTGAGCTTCGCATACATTTTAACAGTATACTAGGCTCGTGGAGTACCTCATGGGAGTCCAAGATCTTAGGTATCCCACTCCTCCCACATTGAACAGAGGGGAACTTGAGTTGATGTTGAGAATGCGAGACATGACGATTTCCTAAAGGCTGTTTGGTTCTTGTGAGTGAAGAACCAGCGTTTGGTGGACATTCAACTCATGCTGGATACTCAGCTTTTGTAGGCTTATCAACCTGTCTTCCTGAAGGGGCTGCTGGATTCATTTGGACGATGAACCTACGTTAAACGAATGGTCGATCATGCTGCATCGTCGCCCGATGCCAGAATTTCACCATGCTATTATGTGCGCAATGTCGATTTAGAATTGTGGAGACAATGTACTATTTCAAGTTGATTTAGATGTGCCCCGATTACTATAGCTTCGGTGAGGAACTCACACCGCTCGTTCTATAGAATACGAGATTGTAACCTCGTCTTTGATCTGAATCTTCGACCTGGACAATCGTACATCATCTCTGCTACCCTTTCCCCGTAAGAAGTTCAATGGCCAACCAGGGAAGCTGGTTAACTGAACCTCGTCCCCGTGAGGGCCATCTTCTTCATCTTCAGACATGTGTTGTCTTGAGCGACGTGTCTGAGAGCCCACTGCACCATAGTAGTCCTCCTGTTTATTGGAACCCTTCCTGATTCCCAAAATCGCCCACCAGCGGCGGAACATGGGCAAAAAGGTTGGCAGACAGGCGCAGACAATTCCAATGAAAGGTTCAACGCAAGACCACATGAACACGGGGGCAATCGTCCACGATTGATCGTTGGAATGTGTGTTTTTGTATAAGAAAACAACACGAACGATACCGGCGATGCAGACGCTATGGCAATTTTGATCAGCCCAATGTCAAGCAGCTCTGTGATTCTATGACAGATCAACTTACCCACCACCGAGCAGCAAGATACTCGTAACCGCAACGCGTTGGGACTTTGGCATTTGCAATTTCCAGATGACAGGAGCCGGAACAATCAGAATGATGATATCAATCACGACAGCAGCAATGCCATTGACCAAGAAGAATTGAGGAACGTCTATACATGCCCCTTCAGCCGTAGGGCTTAGGTATTGCTCCCAGAAATATGATGTGGGGCGACAAGCGGCCGCAAAAGTGACCACGACAGCGACGAAATAGGCTAGGATGATGACTATGGCGAAGTAAAACGACCAACGAAGGTTAAAGATGCGACGATAGAAAAGAGTGATTGAGGATTTGGTCAGAGTGACCGTTGTCGAGTAGATGAAAACATGTGCGAAAAGGAGCTTCCAAAGAGAGACGAATTCGGAGTCAGTGAGGGCTTGCTGGTGCCACCCATTTTTGTATTTGATACCTTTGCAGAGAAAGGGATCAGTCAAGAAGGTTGTGATGATGCAGTGGATCAAGATTCGAGTGTACTCACTGATGATTACGCATATACCCGTGCCATAGGCGAACCACTAAAAGGATAGGTCAGCCATCAGACCAAGGGACCATTGTAACCCACTATATGCCCCCTTACCAAAGCAGCACAGATCAAAAAGTCATCAAGACCGAAATTCGTTGGAGATGTCTTTGTGCGTATACCCATGCGCCAAAGAACCGCTACGGTTCCAACTATCATCAGAGTAATGACTGCACTCAGCATCTGGGTTTGCTGGTTCTCGGCGAGGTCAATGCCTGAAGGCGCAGGCCCAAAATCCCCAGTGGCTTCCATGGGAGTGAACACACCACAACCACGGAGGGATTGTGACCCTCCAAGATTCCCGTGCGAAATCCCGGGATCTTGTGGACCTACTTATGCATTTTGATCTCAAATTGTAGACCCTCATCGGGCTAATCTGACAGTCAGTCCCAAGGTTGATTGTGGGGCTAGGGCATCTCCCGAGGTCGCGATATATCCCGAAGGATCAATTGAAGGGCTCTTCATGTCGAGTTCCCTGCCGTGAAGTTTGTGCTGAGCATGAGACTGTCAGGGTTGAGTCATAGGGTAGACATCAAGTGACAGGGCGAAGATGATGGAACACTCAAAAGCTTCATGGATGTGCAAAAGCTGTTGTGTTCGCAGTCTCAACCCACGAGGCAAATAGATGCGCAGATTTTTCACCCAATCAAAATAAACCTGAAGGAAATAGTTAGTCGATCCATAGACTCTGAAAGCCATCAGAGTGATCTATAGGTGGATCTCAACGAACCAGTTTGCCACCATTTCAGGCACTTGACAGGTGAGATTGAACTGAAAGACAAATGATATCGTTCATTCCTCTTTTGGTTGATGTGAAAAACTTTTCAGGTACACTCTCCCTGCTGTTCACTGGTCGTTTGAACTGACAGGGATCGATTTTGTGGGAATCGCCGTACCTTTTCGAGTCTAGATCCAAATTGCTGTCAAAAAGTCAATATAGGATGGATCTTGGTGGAAGATCGTTACGTTTTTTTTTTTTTTTTTAAATTGGAATGACAAAAATAGTAGCATGAAAACCAGCAAATGATAGATCCAATTCTCATGTAGTACTCCGTGCTATGTTGTATGCTATTCTATCATTCGATCTGAATGAGACGAGCCAACTATATCACTTGAAATGTGCCATTCCAACAAAGATCAAATTGCACAACTTTTCATCTAAGCTCTGGCGGATCCCCCCCCCCAGATATCACACCTACTATCAACCATATCCAGAGCCTCATAGCAATTTCAGTATTCGGTAATGACTCGGCGGTGCCACGGGTTGATCTCCCGCACATCATACGTTCGATCTAGAGTTGGTTGTCGGATATAACCTCGACAAGATGGGAACGAATGGTCATTCTTCGTGGGGTCTCCGCTCTCTGATATGGCACCACCGACCTCACTAGGTGGGGATACACTTGCTATGATATCCGATATTCAGGTCCGCCGTTCAAATCCCTGTTCAAGTCGTTCCCCAAGAGTACACTTACAACGTGAATCGAATACCGAGGTGTTCTTAGAAAAGAATATCTCTTGTTCTTCAAATCGTTGCTCGAATTTCCGGTAATTGTCCATCAGATCGGTGACCTATAATTTCCGGGTTCGAATTCCCCTTCCGTCGCGTTCATCGGTGCTCCACTCAAAAGATGCGTCCGGGTAAGCTCGGAGACTTTTTCACGAGGCGTCTGAGTTTTCTCGTTCTCCTGGGAATCAGGTCCATGGTCTAGGCCTGATCAGTAATATCTCGTAGTCGTAGAGATTGCCAACTATGGAGCTCTTACAATTTTCGAAGTGGGGAGCCGTCTTTACCCGCCAGGCCGGCTGAGAAACCGTGCTTCCAAGTGGAGACGGACAAGACCGATAGTGACCAGTTCAAGAAGGATGAGTTATCCGTTCTCGGTTATCCCGGGATCCACCGGCGCGGTACATCTGGGGTTCAAATGGTACAATTTCCCGGGAAGATGGGAATAGGGCAGCAAACCATGGGGCCAAAACTTAGTGTCTTCCTTCTCTATCCCTGTCGAAGGATGGCTTTAGCGAGGTCAGTTTGACCCAGGGCTTGGTGTCGGTTATTCTTGCTGTCCTACTGCCGACCTTTTGTTGTCTCCTGAGAGTATGCTTTTGATCATTTGATATTACCCGCCATCGGTCTCAACGAAGTGCTAATGAAAAGATATACCAGGCCGTGTCTTGATACTAGAAGAACAAATCGTGTCTTCCATGGATCAGCGAGAAAGCTCACTATCATTTGTCATTCATAGCAAGACAAAGAACAAGATTAATAACTGGTAAGTTTGCATTCTATAGAAACTCGTCTACATAGTTAACCCAGGCCAAAAATTCAAGCTTCCAATTCAATGGAAATTCAACCATGCAGACAGGCATTGCTTGCTTGCATAGACAGTTATCAGACCCGTGGATAACCTGCGGCCGTTATTCTTTTCTTGTCATGGAGTTGCATAGAAGGCTTCACAACACCAGCAATACTCTTCCTCTACACATGATTGAATACAAAGACCTCGGTCATCCACCCCGCGATGACTCAGAAGGTTAGGGCTAAACCAGGTTAAAGGTTAAGGTAAGCTTAAAAGTCAAGGGCAAGCAATTTCATTTTCAAGGAACAGAATGTTCTCTTTCATTCACTTCGTTTACACTACACGTCAGCCTTCACGTACATCTTCAAGCACAGAATTTCAAAACCACGCATTCACCCTCGCTACCATTAAGCCCCCCCTAGACGGCCATCAAAGATGGAGCGTACTTTAGCGCCACTGCACGTTGATGAAGGCAGTCCGGAAACCTCACGGACTCATCTGTATATACCGCAGTTGCCACCATGAGAACTGGACTAACACAGCTGCAGACAATCCGCCATCATCGTCGCCTCAACGACACTTGTATTTACAGGATGCGGAATAAACTTCGCGTTCGGTGTCTTCCAAGAACTCTACGACTCCATGTCAAAGGAGCCAAACACACCGTTCACTAGCGCAACACCCGCACAGATTGACCTGATCGGCACGCTCTCAATTGCATTGATGACAATCGGTGCTCCATTTGCCACAGCGTGGACAAAGCAATACCCCCCTCGATATGTCATCTGGGCGAGTGGAGTCATTCACGCAAGCGCTCTGCTGTGTGCCAGCTTCAGTCAACACCTGTGGCAATTCATCCTCACCCAGGGCATTCTTCTCGGGATGGCCACCTGTCTGACGTACATGCCGTCTGTTACCGTGGCACCGACCTGGTTTACATTGCACCGCGGACTAGCAATGGGGATGATTCTTGCTGGAACTGGAATCGGCGGTGTCGCGTGGCCACTCGCCTTTCGATACCTCATTCAATCGGTCGGATTCCGCAACACACTCCGCGTAACTGCGGGGATCTCCTTTGTACTGATATGCGGCTCGGGGACCTTTATACGCTGGCCGGCTAGTCAGATCACTCGCATTCAAGCCGAGAATGCCGCTTCTTCCCGTTCCTCGACCATTTTCCGCCTTCCGTTGGTCAACTGGCGCGTCGTCCGAAGCCGCAAATTCATCGCCCATGCTCTGGGGGCAGCGTTGCAGTCTGCAGCATACTACACACCGGTGTTCTTTTTCGCGTCTTTTGCCCGTACACTAGGTTACTCACAGGCAACATCAGCGAACTTTATTGCTATCTCAAATGCTGCAAATGCGCTAGGCAAGGTCGCCATCGGCTACGCAGCTGACCGGATGGGAAGACTCAATACACTGGTGATAACGACCCTCATTTCAGCCGTTTCAGTCCTTGCATTGTGGCTTCCTTCCTGCACATCTGCCGCACAATCCACCGGGAGTGCACTGTTCATTGCCTTTACAATCTTCTACGGCATCTTTGCATCGGCATATGTCGCTCTCTTCCCGACGAGCTTGGTAGAGTTGTTCGGCGTGCAAAACTTTGTCAGTGTAAATGGCTTGCTGTATATGGTGCGAGGCTTTGCAACATTAGTTGGAACCCCAGTTGCGGGTGCACTGATCCGCGGAAACCACGAGAAGAGCGTAAGTCCACGAAGTTATGAGAATACCAGCATCATGGTCGGTGTATTGCTATTCGTGGCAACGTTGGCTGTGGGTTGGGCACGACTTGAAGCTACCCTTACCCTTGATGCTGCAGCAGGGCGTAGAATAAAGTGGTTAATGTGAACAGTCTTCTTCCCACACAGAGAGTGAAAAAACCTGCCCTGCCCAATGCCGCAGACTCTACATTAGCACAATTTACCATCATCAAGCGAGTGAATCGAATGATTTTTCGTCTCCTATCAGGTTGATCTATGCTGATAGTTCATTCACAATCTAATGCTTCAAGCAACAAATGGAGTAGGGCCATTGATATTACAACGATCCATACCTCGCCTCTCTCTCACCTTGGGTTATCCTGAATTATGAACGCCTTCGATGCATCCGACTGTGCATTGTGCTCGCAGTTTTTGCCGATCTCATATCTATGAACCCACACAATGACGAGTCAATTCATCCTCGAACAAATCAAGAAGACCACCTTCGCCATCTAATGTTTTTGTGATGTCTTTCATCTGTTGAAATCGATATGTGCATGAAATATCAAAATCAATCCCAAGAACCTTTGGCATCTTTTGGTATGGGCATGTCGCTTTACTCACATCATGGTAGGTGTGGACGAAATTACCAATGTCAAATAGGTGGTCAGAACTGGCGTTGAATGGTGAAGTCTGGTTAGCTGGGAAACTTTGAGGAGATCAGGGGAGACGAGGAGGGGGGGGGGGGGGGGTTTATAGTCACTGGGGACTTCGTGCCTTCCATAAATGTTTTCTAAATTGCCCGATTAGGAGAGATGATGGGAGGGGATGATAGGAAGTACATCCAGGATCCATGGATGAATAAAACGACACCATGGAACTGTGAAGCTTATAAATGAGCCCAGAACCTTGGAAGCGGAATAACCCCCGCAAGCACTCTCAGCAATTCTTTGTCGCCTTTCACGGAGAGCACAGTAATTTATGAGTGAAAGCATTGTAGAAAAGGGACATCTAAAAATGAGAGATGGTTTCCACGCCTCGGATGAGGCATAATGTTTCTAGTCTCATTCTTGGAAATGTCCAGTCCTTCTGGAATCACGAGATGCTTCAAGAAAATCAAATCAAAGCAATTGTTTCTCTTGCTGATGACCGATGGGTATGGTGGAACAGTATCTCAAGACGGGCAGTTCTAGAGCATCATCCGGGTTCAGTGCAGACTCGCCAACACAAGACCTTCTTATCCATTAAAGTGATGCCTGCGAATTTATCGACCAAATGGCATCCCAGGTTCTTTCCTCATTGACACCCTTACCAATCAATGAGGAACTCATTAAGGGTGATAAGCCGGAGGCGAGTTTGATCCACTGTGGCCTTGTTATCTCACACTCCCCAACGATCATCGTCGCCAAGAGTCAAACCAAGCCGGAATCTTACTTGTCAACATCAAGTGTGGGAGGAAGTTGAATATAAAAGATAGGAGGACGAAGAGATGACTGTCCCCAATCCGCCATACGAAGCATTTCTGGACAATTGGGCTACGCTCTTGAAAGCAAAGGGGCTCACTGGGAATAAGTCACGACACTTGCGCCTCTGAATCTCCTTGACTTGCACGTTTTCCATCTCTACTTGTCGCAGCGATTTCTTGTAGCCTTCCAAGATTCCCCATCTCCATCTCACCCATATCTACGAAGATCAAATTGCCAGGCGAGATCTACATTTGTACCTAAATACCTAGATATACATCTTCCGGCCCAGTGGAAGGTATACATTTCGAGAGCATTATTGCTAGGTCTCACTCTAAAACCGAAAGGAATTCCCAACGTCAGTCGTACATCATGAAATTTCATGTCGTCTTACAACCCAGGAGTCTGCGCCCCTTCCCCGATCCCCATCAACCCACCAGCGAGCCCCTTCATCCGACGATCCAGCAAATCTTCTTCACTATCAAGAGAAGCGATACTCCGTCCCCTCGGACGGACTGTACCCGGGCTCTCAGGAGCACTATTTGTCTCATCAGGATCGAAACGGTCAGAATGACCCGCTCTCTCCAGACATTGGAGCTTAGCGAGCAAGTCGTCCTTAGCGTTGCGATCATCTCCCAACGATCTAAGCCCGGGAACTCGCGAGGAAGCAAAAGAGGATCGTGATCTTCTTTGACGTGTGCGGTGTTCAGATTTTGATGTAAGTGCATCCCTACTACCAGCAGCTGACGTGATTTTGCTCACGCTCATTTCCAATGGTCTGTCATCGTCACCGGAGGACTCGCCAGTAAACTTGCGATGGTGGTTGCGTCCCTGGTACGCAGAATTTGTTTGATTATTTGCAGGGCCAGGGAAGTTGAGGGATTTGTCGGCATTCAATCCACTCACAATCCGGTCAGTTTTAAATAAATTGGCCTCGAAGCTGTCGGCGTTGTTCTTCTGGGCTAGAGTCTCCAGCCAGTCCGCGCTGCGATGGATATACTTCCACGCGTCGGGGAAGAAGCCAGCCATCTGCATAAATCCATGTGAAATACCTGGGATGAGAGAGACCTCAATGTAGTTTCTCTCGTTGAAAGGGCGGGTTGCCCTCTCCAACCCCAGGTCCTGGCGCTCACGGTACTGATGCAGTTTTGCTTGACGCAGTCTTCCTGCAAATATGACCGTGTCATCAACCAGAGGATCTCGCTCTCCGGTCATGATATATGTTTTCGGGAAGCGGGCGAGTAATGCATCTGGGGCCAGGACGGGAGAAAGGAAGAAATCGGTGTTGAAGTCGGGGCGATGGTGGGGTCCGATGTACAAGATGATCATCGCACGCGTCATTTCAGGTGTGAGGATGCGGTCGTGGACATAGGTGATCATGGAAGAGACAGCTAGTCGGGTCTTGATTGGTGTGATTTCGTTTTCTGCAATAACAACATGCTTTGGGGCTAAGTTCTCATTCTTTTGGAGTTGATCCTCTAGCGATTTGGCAGCTTGGGTGGCCGCATTGATTTCCTTGCTTTTCTGTTCCGTCTCTGGTGGTGAGACAGCAGTTAGATCCTCTACCGAGCTACCTGGCGATGTGAATGGCGTGAGTTTACGATATTGATCCTGTTTTCGTTGCAGAACACTGCGGTTTGTTTGACGAGTGCTCTTCTCCTGGATCAATGACATCTGCTCATCACTCATCCAGCTCTCAACCCTCATATTCAACGCAGGGTATGCCAAAATCACACCATCCGGGGCTGGGAGCACATCCTCTCCTCGCAAACCCTCAGACATCGCAGACTGTAACACCATCAAGACCATGCCCACTGCGAGGTTGCCACCGGCACTCTCGCCAGTGACAAGAATCCGAGGACAGGTCTTACCACTCAGACCCATACAATGACCGTTCGTAGCAATGATGCTATGGTATACATCATAGCATTCATGCAGTGCATACGGGTAGGCAAATTCCGGTGCCTTCTTGTAATCAATGCTCAGGATGGGAACCTTTAGTCTTCCGGCCCAAGACAGTAGCTTGTCTTCTGCATTTCTAGGACTCATAGCCACAAACCCACCACCGGGTACATCCAGCACGATCAGGCTCTGATCTCGGAGCGCACTTAACGGGCCATCGAAATACAGCCACGCGTGTACCGGCTCGGTGTAAACAGAATTCGCTGGGCGAGGAATTCGAATCGCTCGAGCCGGGAATTGAGTCATTCGCGGCCGTAGCAATTTCGCCAATGACCACAGGTAGGGACTGGTGGCTTTGTTCCAAGACACGCGCAGGTGCTCTAGTGTCAGAGTGGCACGGACCCGGCGAACCTTCTCGTCGGCCTGTTCAGCAGCAATTAGATAGTAAGCCGTAAAGACTAGTGAAGCTATATCTCGTAGCCATTTCGGCTTTATGTTCATAGCGGTCCAAAATCCCGCATCCAGACCAGTGGTAATCCATGTTGCTCGAAAGAAGGACCGCGAGTACATATTTGCAAGCGGTTCAGGGCATTCAAGCCCGACGATCTTGGCAAAGTTCCGGCTGAGGTAGAGCCAGAGGAATATGATAACTGTTGTCTGCCATGTTGTCAACTTTCCCGTGAAGCGGGATGAGAGGGATCGAATAAACGGTGGGCCATGTTTATCTGCTCTGTTGGATGTTCAGCGGGTGTAATTACTCAAACTAACTGGGTATTGAAATGTCGTACCTTAATAAGTAAATCGACCAGAATGAGACAACTGCAAATACTTGGATCTTGCGGAAGCGAGTCGAAGGTCTCCCCAAGACATGGTCTGAACACCGATTAGGTTGGTGAGTTTTTAAAGAGAGACAGGTGTTGCAAACCTATCATTTCTCAAATTTAATGATTGAGTCTAGTTAGTCTCACCAGCTCAGGCTGCAAGATGTAGTCTATGTGAAGCCAGGATAAGAATCCATGGAGGGTTGAGTCTAAAGAACAATGATAGTCAAACAGAACCAAAGACATACGGAGACGAGTCAGCCAGAATGAACAAGGACACATTACCATCAATCAGCATCGTGGTGCAAGTAATGCAACCTTGTCATTGGAGGAACAGTCGGAAAAATCACATGTCAACCAAGTCCCACATCCACATGCCAGTGACGACACCAGCTGACTTTCTAGGCCGGGGTTGATTTCAGTTTTAGACGATGGATTTGCATTGCATTTCTCCAGCGGGATTCTATATTTGCCGGCAATAATCACGTCCATGTCCAACCTGCCAACTGCATAACCAAACCTCCCACCCCACACTGAGGAAACCCGCAATGCAGATACCAGCCGAGTCACTGACTGTGGTAGCTCCCAATGAAAACTCACGATCCTCGTTAGGGACACGATCAGCAATCTCAGAAAAGGTATTGACATATACCACTCCACCGAGGAGGCCCTCCCAGAAGACAATGATGAACACAAGCCATACACTGGGGATAAAATTAAACAGAGCATGGAGGGTCAGCAACGCAAGATTGACCACCTGCAGGAGTGACGGCAAGTACAGATTGTGAATGCGGTAGAAGGGGGTCGAGGATCGGGATATGAAGACGCCGATCTGGTAGATAGCATTATAGGTGGGGTAGAACGAGCGGAAGTGCTCAAAGGGCGATTCACGCAGGGGAAAAAGCAAGGTTGGAGCCACCCCTTGGTTAATTACGTATTCAGCAATGTAGACCAGTAGCATCGGAACCATGCTAGATATCTGTCAGCCTAGTTTTGGGAGAATCGAAAGACTCGGACACTTACAAAGGAATGAAAAGTCCTTTGATTCGATATAGATTCATGCGAGTCTGGTCCTGCCAGGAACCACCCTCGTTGATATGGATAGACTTTCGGGTGGAGGAATTGTGCGACACTCCCAAGAGCCCCTCGCGTTCTCCACCAGCGCCGCCATTCATTTCATCTTCCTGCTCTTGGCCCCCACCCTCAACAACACGATATCGATCACTGTCGGATTCATCAGATCTGAGCGGTGACATGGGTAGCACGACAAAGAAACTCAGAACCATTATGGCCGGTAAGCAGGCCGAACCCAACAACGTGACATGAACGGAGAAGCCCAGTGCTGAGGTTGCGAGCGCATAGGCACCAGCTCCGATCAACCCAGCAGCGCCAGTACCACTTCCCCATGCAGCCAGACTAAACGGGCCAAAGAAGTGCGTGAGACCCACAAAACTCAGCTCCCCAGCACCGCAAGAAAAGCTGGCCAGGATAATTCCCGCGACCTTGGACGACACTGTTCCCCCATCAATATAACCTGGGCTCATGGCGACGACCAGCATGCCCATGGACGACAGGAAGGCAAAGACAAGGATACGCATCCAATATGGGACCAGGTGGATAACGTACGGGGCGACGAGTTTGGTCGCGAATGACGGCACCACGTCCGCGAGGAGAACAACGCCTTTGGGCACATCGGGTCCAACTAGATCTACAGCTGCCGACAGGATGATCACATATAGGACATTGTTGATGAGGCCTGCCGGGTATGGGTGTTAGCTACTCTAATCAACCGGGCCAATTAAGGGTATGCACCAAAGAGCCAGAAAGCAACACAGATTCGAGGGTCTGCGCCGGTAAAGGCACCACTGACACGGGCGCCGAAACGTTTCCAGATGGAATAATGTTCCTCTTGGGAGGAAAGCGTTGCAGCATCCTCGGATGCTGTGAGAGGCATTCGGTTGTTGCGTGTGGGGGTTGACAAAAAGCTACAGCAAAGAGTAAGAAGGGATTCAGTTCATAACTTATTCTAATTGGGAGAAAATACGGGGGGGGGGGCTGTCGAATCAAGCGCGAAGAGTGACGACTCCTTTTCTCCACTGCAGCAGGCTTAAAGTCCATCGCGCTAACCCCATGTAATTTAGGTCACCGCCTTGCCCACATTTCTCTTGATCCACAACCCTACCGTTAAGAAGAGTGCATAACTAAGTGCTTAAAAGGGGGAGACTTACCAGCGTAGTAGGTTGAGTCCTCAGACTTTCGAATGTAGCCTACATCTCTTTGATAATATTTGTGTTTAACTCTTCTACAGCCTTGTGAAGGCTGTAAGTAAGTCATAGTAGCTACTCATATGTTGTGCTATTCATCTGCTGGTAAAAAAACCTGGCGATGGGCACTACAACCTGCCGCACCCTGCGCGATCCACCGCCTTCCCTACACGTGGCTTCGAGTGGTCTTCTCCACATTAAAAGGGACACACGACACTGTTCCTTTATTGCTCTAGTTTCTATGATGAAAATTTGTCTTGTCATATCCAACGCAATACAAGATGGTATCAAGGGAAAACAAAATCATAACCGGCATTCAGCACAAGACACTCATGACTTGGCCACGACCGACTCCACAGCCTGCTCCAAAATCTGCAGACCAGTCTGAATTTGATCTTCAGTGATCGTCAGAGCAGGGACAAACCGGAGGCAACCATCGCCAGCAGTGATGATCAACATGCCACGCTCACGGGCAGCAGTGATAATATCACCAGCCTTGGCGGTGTACTCCGGGGCGAGTTGAAGACCCAGGATCAGGCCGCGCCCGCGGATCTCAGAGATCACACCTGGGAACTTCTGCTGAATGGTCTTGAAACCCGAAACAAAGAGATCGGACTTGGCCTGGACGGACTGCTGGAGCTCCGGCTCAGCGAGACGCTCGACGATGTGATGAGCGACACGGCAAGCCAATGGGTTACCGCCGAAGGTGGTGCCGTGATCACCGGTCTTAATGTGTTGGCCGACCGTCTTGCCAGAAACAATAGTGGCACCGATAGGAATACCGTTGCCAAGAGCCTTGGCGGTAGTCAGGATGTCGGGGTGGGCAGCCTCGCCAGAGGCTGGGGCAAGAGATGGGTGAGCGTGGGCCCAGAAAGTACCGGTACGGGACAGACCGCACTGGATCTCGTCAAAGATCAAGACGGCACCAGTCTCATCACAGCGCTTGCGAAGAGCGGCAAGGAATTCGGGGGTAGCGACGTTGACACCGCCCTCGCCTTGAATGGGCTCAACGATGACACCACATGTCTTGTCATTGATGAGAGTCTGAAGCTGGTCGATCTGGTTGTAATCTCCGTACTTGAATCCGGGGATCATGGGCGAGAACGGAGTCTGGTACTTGGGGTTAGGGGTGGCCGAGAGGGCGCCCATTGTGCGACCGTGGAACGAGTTCTTGAAGGACACGAACTCGTGCTTATCACCCGAAGGGTCCAGAGTGCGGCCGGTCTTACGAGCGAACTTGATGGCTGCCTCATTGGCCTCAGTTCCGGAGTTGGAGATGAAGACCTGCGAGGCATCGCGCATAGCACCGGAATTCTGAGTCAAATCAATCAATAATTTACTCAGAGCACCGGTCCAAACGTTGTGATAAAGGTTCGAAGCGTGGATCAGGGTCTCAGCCTATATTTGAGGGTCTTTTGTTAGCAATTAATCGCTATCCAGTCCACAAAAGTACTTCGCACCTGCTCCGCAATGATATTCGCGATCTCTTGGTCACAGTGACCAAGAGAGTTAACAGCAATTCCCGCAGTAAAGTCCAGATAACGTCGGTTCTCCATATCCCACAAGTAGCAACCCTGTCCCTTCATCATCATCGGGGCCGGGCGAACGTAAGTCGGGACCATGAAAGGAGCCCGCTCATTAATGAAGGACGCCGTGACTGAGTCCGCAGAAGGATCGGGGTTGGGCAGAGTTGAATCCTTCTATGCGATTGTTAGTTCCCAAATTGAACGCTGACCTTGGCCATTCGGGCCACACATACAGTGGCCTGGGACTTCACATGTTGAGGGGCAATGGATGTGGTCGCGAATCGGCGCTGTACTGGTAACTCGAGAGCAGGGACGAATCTGGATGCGCGAGGCAGACGGCGCGCGGCCACGCGGAGGGCAGACATGGCAAACTTTTGAATTTAAAAAAGTTGTGTTGTTTTTAAAAAAAAGACAAAGAGCCAAACTACAGCAAATGAAAGCTGAAAATCTCAAGGGAAGCGACCGATCGGATCAGCGATCTGCTGCTAGAAATTAAAAAGGCGATATCGGGACCGGCGGTCTTAGTCACATCGGTGGAGTGACTCACTGACACAGGCGAGGTCCCGAGATCTCCCCGTAAATCGTGTGCAACTTCAAACTTACCTCATTGGACATATTATGCCCTCATACGCAAACGCGATGATGCACTCTCTCGCAATTCGCCGTTCAATTTTCTCGGCTGCCACAGCCCGCGGCGCAATCCGGCCACTCTCCACAACTCGAGTCCTGCGCCAGAGCGGCGACGACAAGCCCATGCCTTTCTCAGATTCCCCAGCTCCCCCACGCCTCCCGAAGGAAGAACAGGAGATCTTTGAACAGCTCCAGAAGCGCTCTACTGGGGCATTTAGTACACCTAAGGTCAACCAGTCCCCACAGATCGAGATTCAGGCGGATGGCAAAGGTGGCAAGCTTCACCCCGATGCGCCAAAGGGCCTCAAGCCTGAGTTTGAGGGCGAGAAGAACCCGAAGACCGGAGAAGTTGGTGGACCAAAGAACGAGCCTCTGCGATGGGGTGCAGGTGGTGATTGGAGCTATGGTGGTCGTGTCACTGATTTTTGAGTGACCTCGGCTTGACCACAGAAATATACATCATGTTGGCGTTGGTGTTTCTTGCCCAGGGATATGGTGTCTCCATAATCGGATATAGAGAAAAGGGTGTGTGATTATGGTTGACCACATCTACAGTGTATATAATAAAATTGTGTGGACTGACAATGCAAAGTAGGTTTACGTGCGATGCTGGCAAATATGTGAATTCGGTTGGGAACTAATAAATACTCTGAACGACGACAAGCACAGGATATACTGCAAAATCAATCAAAGTGACGCTTTTTCTCCCGCGAGACGAGCGAGAGTCGCTTTTCCAGCGCGGCTGCCATTAGCTCGGCCCAACTCTCCACTAATCCAACCTCCAATCTTCGACATTTCATCCAGGCTGATTCCTGTGTGCATCCCCAGGCTGTGAATAGTGTGCACGAGGTCCTCTGTCGCCACATTCCCTGTCGCACCCTTGGAATACGGGCAACCACCAAGCCCGCCCACGCTGCTGTCGAAAATACGGACACCATGCTCCAGGCCGACGATTGTGTTCACCAATGCCTGTCCATAGGTATCATGGAAGTGCAACGCCAAGTCTGTATTAGCGATGCCAGCAGCCTTGAGCGCTTGTAGAAGCTCCATAGTCCGGGGTGCGGTGCCCATACCCGTTGTATCCGCTACTGAGACCTCATCCGCTCCCATCTCCAGCAGTGTGGCGGTAATATCAGCCACCTTGACGGGATCCACATTAGGTCCTTCGTAGGGGCATCCAAGTGCGACAGAGACATATCCGCGTACCCGGATATTCTTCGTCTTTGCTAATGAAACAATCGGCTTGATGCGCTCAATGGACTCCGCAATAGAGCAGTTTGTGTTAGCCTTCGAGAAAGCTTCCGTTGCTGCTGCAAAAAGAGACACCTCTGTAGTGGTTGCTGCCTTTGATGTCTCTCCAGTTGCGTCTGCAGGAACTCCTGTATCATCAAGTATCTTGACCAGGCTCTCCAGTCCTCTGATGTTGGGGACAAGATAATTGTAGGCGATTGTGGATTGTGCTTGTGGAGGTTTTGTGAGAAGATGCTCGCAGATCTCAGCTGTGCTTTCCATCTGTCAAAATGCAACCAAAGTGTCAGTTTTCTGCGCCTGAAATCGCCGTACTGCAGCTATGACGTTCGGCAAGATCATACCTGGGGTACCCATTTTGCAGGCACAAATGAACCGGCTTCAATGGTAGTAACACCTGTCTTAGCCAGTCGCTCAATTAAACCAAGCTTTGTTTGCATTGAAATGGATTTCTTCTCATTTTGCAGTCCATCTCGAGCGCCGACCTCCACGATGCGGACATGGTCCGAGGTTAACCGCGACTCGGTCGCGAAACGGCGTGCAGAGTGTGGAGACCGCAGGGCTGAGAACAAACTCAATCGGGGACGAGCTGTCATCATGGTAGATTCGAGGACAACTTCAATAATCAGACCAACCAAAACAGTAGGAGAAATTGCAGGTAAGAGGGCGAGCTTTGGAGAATGGAACAGTAAGAAGCCGAGAATGCGGAGAGCGCTTTACCTCTTCCAGACTAGTTGATCACCCCACCTCCTGCTGAGTCAGTCGGCAGAAAAAAAGAAGTGGGATGATATCGATTTCAATCTCCGGTTATCAAGATCAGTGGAAAATCCAATTTTTGGAATTTTTGACTCTTACAACAGCTAATCATCATGGAGCCATATACTCCTACATCCCCTACTGAGGATGGCTCTCAAGCCGCTAGCCAAATGCGGCAGCCAAAGAAGAGATTTGTCGGACGACGAACAGCAGATGCCCAAGCCCAGAAGGATGCGACTAGTCAGAAAGATGTTGAGTCGACAGCGGTGCAAACAGGTACATACTGTCCTCTGTCTCAACTCAAATACGTATACTGATTTCCACTTTCTCTAGCCGCTCCCAGGCGTACTCCCCGCACCCTCAACCAGGTGCCACCAGAGATTCTGAACGATCCCGAGATCCAAGAAGCAATCGAACTTCTCCCTAAAAACTACTCATTTGAGATCCCTAAGACAATCCACCGGGTCCGCACATCAGGAGCTAAGCGAGTAGCCCTTCAATTTCCGGAGGGACTCCTTATCTTCGCTACAACCATCTCCGACATCCTAACCCAGTTCTGCCCTGGAATCGAAACTCTCATAATGGGCGACGTCACCTACGGTGCTTGCTGTATCGACGACTACACTGCGCGCGCTCTAGGCTGCGATCTGCTAGTACACTACGCGCACAGCTGTCTGATCCCAGTCGACGTTACCCAGATCAAAACGCTCTACATCTTCGTAGACATCAGCATCGACACAAGCCACCTTCTCGCAACACTAGAACGCAACTTCAAGCCCGGCCAATCGATTGCCACCGTCGGCACGATCCAATTCAATGCGACATTACATGGACTGAAACCTGTCCTAGAACGCGCCGGCTTCCGCGTCATAATCCCACAAATCACACCTCTCTCTAAAGGCGAGATTCTCGGCTGTACATCACCGCAACTCTCCGAAACCGAAATTGACGCCATCCTCTACCTCGGTGATGGCCGCTTCCACCTCGAATCCGCCATGATCCACAACCCCTCCATCCCAGCCTACCGGTACGATCCATACTCGCGAACGTTGACACGCGAGAGCTACGAGCACGAGGAAATGCACTCGATCCGCCGAGACGCGATCGCTACGGCCAAAACCGCGAAAAAGTGGGGCATCATCCTCGGCTCGCTTGGCCGACAGGGTAACCCGCACACGATGGCGATGATCGAGCGACACCTGCGCGAGCGCGGCATTCCAATCGTCAACTTGCTGCTCAGTGAGATCTTCCCTGGTAAGCTGGCGTCTATGGCGGATGTGGAGTGCTGGGTGCAGATTGCTTGTCCGCGGTTGAGCATTGATTGGGGATACGCGTTCACGCGGCCATTGCTGACGCCGTATGAGGCGCTTGTTGCGCTAGGGGTGCGGGAGAGTTGGGATACAGGGAATAAGGGAGTGTATCCGATGGACTTCTATGCGAAGGAGGGGCTTGGTCGGACGAGACCGGAGCAGGTTTAAAGTTCGGCTCTCGAAAAATTGACGAAATCTATACCCCCAAAACAGACTCAGGGCAGCGGGACTGGCTCTGGCTGAAAGGTGATGACAATGAAATATACGTTGATATGCCTTCGTTTGTGTTGTCACAAGTAGAGAACACAGGAGAACATGTACTTGTTCTGAATTAAAACGTCGACTGTCTAAGCCTTCTCATCTTCTTCTGCAGTCTATCCATGAAACCGAGAAGGAAGGTAAAATGGTATTTAAAAAAAGAGATAGCGAAAGACGTTGAAACCCACATTTAAGCACAGCGAAAATAAGACGTGACAAAGTCGCACCAACTACTATTGTATGTATGCAAGCCTTGGGAGAGAGTATTAATAGCTGTCGGGCTATCGAAGGCACCGACGAAAGACATCATGGCATTTCATTTCCAAGTCCAATTAAACCGATCCTAATCAAATACAAAGTTCATAATACAGGATGGCGTTCGCAATAAATCACCCTTTCACATCATCAGTACTGTCAGTGTTAAAATCACTAGCACTTCCACGCCGAAGTGAGAGGATATTCTTATTAGCCAATTCATCAGCAGTGCGTTCAGCAGCCCGCCAGCGAGTCACAGCTTGCTGAACATCCTCAAACATCTCCAACGAATCATGGATGATGCCACCCTCGCCAGAATCACCCAGCTGGGTACTCTCACGGGAACCACGGTCAGTAGACATGGGGAAAGCAGGTCCAAATCCTCGCTGAGGAATTGGGTTGAACATGATGGCATTGGCAAACATGCGAATTAACTCTTTCTCCAGTTGTGCAGAGTTCACAACTCCCTTGGGTGGGATGAAGTCCTCATTTTTCTGTAACATCAGCACGCCGCTTTTGGACGGTGTGCCACCAGGAACGGGAGACTCTCCATCCCCGGCTGGGGTGCTGGCTGATTCTCCTGCAGTGGCGACGGCTTTGCTTCCCTGGTGTATAGCAGATTTGATCGACTTGAGGTCAGATGGCCGGTAGATGAGATCGTGGTAGCCGGGGGCGTCACGTTCGTTAATTGGCTTGGCAAAGATGGAGGCAAGCTTGTGGGTAGCTACATCATTCATGATCGGTGCCGCCGTCCGATGGAAGTTGCGCGTGGCCATGACATACTGAGTCGTGTCAAATCTTGGAATATCCGCCGGGTGGGGTTCAAGATCCACTGCTTCACTTGCACCGCGTTTGCGTTTTGTCCGCGGTCTAGGAGTCCCTTCATCCGCGGTAGCAGCTGCACCTTTACGGCGACCCGTTGCTCGTGATTCACGTAGAGTGTCTTCCGATGGCGCAGCAGACCCATCGCGTGAAGCCATGGATCGCCCGCGACTCCGGGAAGAGGCCGAACTTACGGCTCGCGTCCTCCGAATTGAAGCTAGTTTCTCGGTCTTGATGATGGGGGCGGGTTTGACGTCAGGCTGGCCGCGTCGGGGTTTCTTATCTTCCGCAGATGGAGCTCGTTGGCCCAGATTGATTCTCGGAGGAGGTGACATTTCCATCGCATCAATGGGTGATTGGCCGCGTTCACTGATGGGACTGACATCCTCCGGCCGTGGCCGTGGTGGTGAGCTAGGAGAGAGCGAAACCTTCGGGCGAGGTGTTCTCTTCCACGGTGTGGAGGAGCCTTGTGTGTCAATTGATAGGCGTGGATGAGAGGCGCGCGATTCAGAGAAAGAGGGGAATGTGGCACTTGGGGTTTGGGAAACACGCGGGCGGCCAATTGGGACTGGCGTGTGAACTGTGGACGGGATGGCGCTGGGTGTTTGTGGAACAGAAGGTCGATGGGGGGTCTGGGCTTGTGACCCTGGCAAAGGCGGGTTGGTGAGAGGTGGTGGAATAGGTCGCTTGGTAGTGGCCTGGGCTGCTTGAGGTGTAGCAGCAACTGAGGCGACCGGGTATGGTGAGTGGGGAGAAGGATCCAGCTGCCACTGCTGGAAACTCGGCTGGGCAGGGGTTCGTTGGGATGCCGGCGCCAACGGGCCAGCCTTGCCCGTAACAATAGGCGCAGGTGGGACAGGATTGGCACGAGGTGCGATTTGCGATGGATGTGCTGGGGTCACTCGCGGCCCGGCTGGTGTGGTTGGGGGGACTTTCTGGATAGACGGAGCAAGTGTAGGATGGATGAATGGTTTCGGTTGGGGATGAGTGGCGATCGGCTGCATTTGAGGTGCTTGCCCAGCTATGTCTGGCGTTTCGGGTGTCGGGGCTTGCACTTGGGGATGTGGAGCTTGAATTTGGGTCACAGGAGGGATGGGGTGTGTTTTCGGATGGTCGTTTGTCGTAGGTGGCACATTTATCGCGATGTGTTGTAGTTTGAGCTTTGCCTTGTCCTCGGCGAGAGGGATGGCCGTCGGAACAGGTTGACCTATCTGATCTTGTACATGTGGGCGCGGTACCTCTTCCTTCGTAACAGCATCATTTCCTTCGATTGGCACCGCCTTCACCGGTGTGTATGCTGTAGCTGCCGCAACGACGGGTTTCTCGCCCTCCTGCTGTAGCCGTTCCAGCTCAGCCCTGATTTCTGTGTATTTTTTCTCATCATCCCTAATTTCCCTGGTGACTAGGTCTCTGAATTTGGCATAAAGTTGTGTCACTAGTTCTGGGATGAGCGTGGCATGAGTGAAACCGCCGGTCAGTCCATCTGGTCGCGGACTAGAGATCTTTCGTTTCTTTGGATTGGGCGGAATAGAGGTATCTGCAGATCGTCCGTTGACCGAGAGCGCACCATCACGATTGAATCCATCGTGCATTAATGTCGCATAGAGATCTTCCAGCGCCTCTGGGGTCAGGCGATCGGCATCGAAATCGACATTTTCGCGCACGAGGTGATTATTGCGCAAAAGGGTTGAAATTGAGCCGAAGCTTGTCGGTCGGGAATCGGAAGTCGCTAGAGACTGGAAAAACAAGAGGGACTCAAACGAAGTGTATGCCGACAAAGGAGGCATCCCCCATTGCCCGTCCGGTCGGCCACTGGGGGAGAAGGCGTTGAGGATGGGGGCCACGGTGGTCGGTCGGCGATCAGGGTGGTCACGGAAAGTGCTGACCTGTGAGCTTCGAGGACTAGGTTGGCTAGATTGGCTGGTATTTAGAGATAGTGAACGCGACAAGCTAGAGACGCAATACGCATAGCCCTGCAATCTTTCCGCGCGAAAAAATTGAGCGGGAAAAAAAATGAACGGCGACCACACCGGGTCAGAAAAAAAAAGGAACGCGTCAATTTTAGGATTAGAAGAATTCAAGGGATGAAAGTGCCACTCTAGAATTGAAAAGACGATGGAAATGGAAATGGAGGTTGGAATTGAGGACGTCTGGAGAGTTCACGATGCTACCGTACCGTATGGTACGGGTCATGTGACCAGTTGCCAGGGAGGAATCTGCCAGAATGTAAGTTGTGCAACATACGATGGACGGAGTACTTCGTCGATATTAGTTTATCTGTACGGAGTATAAACTATCGATATGAATCTATAAATCTGAATGTTTGCTATGGTATCTGCAAGCATAGACGTTTTCAACCTTATATCCTCATATTCCGGTAAAATTGAGCCCATGTACTGTGGTGCTGTAGTGCCTATAATGAATAATCTCCCCTAACTGCCTTGAAACTCATATCGGGGAGGTTTTTTTTACTTCTCATATGAAAGAAAGAAAGCCAAAGCTTCTCCTAGTACTGTCTTAATGTCTTATTTTCTTAATTTCCCGTTTGCAAAGTGATATATGTATCAAGTTGTAGATGTGAACTATGTACAATTAACCCCTATTTCTCTATTTTGGTATAGAATATAACCATGGAAGTATAAAAAGGTCAACCCCTGAAACACCACCCCCCCCCCCCCCTAAACTCCATACTAATTAACCAACTGCGACACATAATGGCGTACAACCCCTGTAATACAGTTGTAACACTTACGAGCTCTCTCCTTGCCGGTGGAGATATATGGGACCTCCAATTACCGTGACTAGTAACACAGTGGGTTATGATCATCTCTTAATTTCGCACTTCTCCCTTTCTTTTTTCCTCCCCTTTAGCTTCCTGGCAGGTCTCCAAAGTTGTTTGCTTATCACTCTTCTATCTTGTTCATCGCGACTCCTGTTGATATCCGGTTCTTTTTTTTTTTTACCTCTCCACCAGATTGTGGCTTATCTGTAGAGAAGTATAAAGCACTGACACTGGTTTGTCCCTTTCCCTACAGCATCAGAATCCTCGTTTTCAGCTTCATCTTTGCTTGATTCTTGGCTGGTCCTGGTCTCGACGATACCTAAATCGCCTCATACCTTAATTCTACGACTTGATCTTGCCCCGCCTGTCTCAAGGTCGTACACCCTCTGTCGTCCTTCAATTGTCAGGACCCGTTCTGTAATCCCAGAAACCAGAGAGCTCTAATCATCACACAATATGTCTGACATGGACCGCGAGTGGAAGCCGAAGGCACGGCCGCAGTCGTTCGTTTCCCTGTCTCGTCAGATCTCCAAATAGTTGCATTAACCGTGACTTCAGGACCATGGCGCAAGCATTCTCGTCGGCCTTGGACAGCGCCTTTATGCTAGACTCTGACGTCGACAACCTTTCACAAACCATCGATCAGAAGTAAGTGGTGCTTAATAATTCCTTGACCATCGATATCGCGCGTAACGCTCGCTATTATCCTAACCCTTATTTTCATGTTGGTAACCTCAACCCCACAGGAAGCAGCAGATGTTGATCCAGGCATGGGAATTGGAAGAGCTGCAGAATCGCATCCGCGAGGCCGAGAGACGCCTCCAGTCCCAGTCTTTTGGAGGTGACAACACTTCGTCTCAAACCAGCCGGGAACGAGGCCAGTCAGCTGGTGAGCGCTCAATCTGATCATTTTGCGGCCGATTGATTTAGCTGGCCAGGGTTGCGCTGTAGCGGGATCTGACTGTGTCACAGCTTCTCAAGGAGGATCCCACAACGAGCAGCAGCCGGAGCAGTCGGAGCAGCGGGGGAACATTTGAAGTCCCACCATATGCAAATTTCAAGATCTGGAAGGTCAAAAGAAGACCATCCGATTCTGAAGTCGGAACTAGATTCAAGCTGGGACAAGCGCATGAAGGCGGAACACTCTATGATCCGTAATACTGGACCCGCGCCGCGTCTGATAGACGCAACATGTTCCAGTCGGCGTGGTTATTTTTTGGAAATGGGGGGTTTTTTTTTTGCTTCTCTTTTCTTTTTTTTAGCATCCTTTGAGAAATCCTATTGTATGAATTTGGTCGCGGAATCTCTATTCCCAAGGCCATCCCTCGTTTGCAGTGCCACGGCGCTGCGATTCACCCAAGTTTTTTTTTTGCCTTTTGAGCCTGAAATAAAGTTTTTTTTTCTCTTCAACTATGCTACATTTATACCCTCAGAGCATTGGATGACTCTTTTCGTATGGAGTAACTGAAGATATCGTTCCAGTTTTTTTGTCCCTTTTTGAGGCTTGAGCCGATAAGTAGAGTTGCTACTGAGCTTACAATAGTGTCCACTCACGGGCCTGCAGCCCTAAATTGAGTACAACACACTCAACAATCCACTTGATTCCGGCATAGTTCCTCTTTCCCTGGTGACGAAGAACCTAGAGGGCACGGGCTTCAAATGCTGCCGAGCTATCAGCTGGAGAGCTGCGGGGCATACCATCTTGGGGCTTTCATTTGATTTCTCTTGCTGATAATTCAGTTGAAAATCCATCTGGATGGCAACAGGACCCCATTCCTTTCCGAGTGATCTGCTTGAAGTTTCGTTTTGGTCAGGGACATTTTTTTCCGATGGCCGTTGCAGCTTGCTAGAAATTCAACCAAATATTTGGGCTGCATTTGTGTCCCTGTCTATTTTTTTATTCCTCTTCCTATGGCTCCGTCGCACCGGAAATTTCACCGATTTTTGAGAGAGTTCCCTGCACGAACGTGGACGACGTGCTTGTCAGAGATGGGTAGATGTCGATGTATGAAAAGTGATGCGAGGATACCCCACTTGAGGAGATCGCATATAATTTGATCATAATCCATTTGACTGCAAAATCTGGATTTCTCTCGATTTCCTTCTCATCTTCTATGTAATACGATATCTTATTGTAGACCTGTGGGGTCAAGCTAAATGTCGTCTCACAAAGCTGGTTGCAACAGCACTAGCGCTACCACGGCGGGCACGAAAACAAGCATTCATTCCCAATACCAACTCGCAATGTTCGGGCAGAAGCCGATCTTTGGGTACAACCGCCGAAATGAGACCGAAGCTCTGAGTATGATGATTCAAGCTAAAATAAAGGATTTGATCAAAGAGTTCGTCATCTTCTTTTTATTCCCCGCTTTCTAATGGGCGGAAATAGCTGATATTCTGTTTTCTTTTCACCCAGATAGTCTTGATGAGTGATAAAAAGAGTACAACATGAATTGAAATACACCTAGGCAAGTATATCACTTCCAGGGCTAACTGGCAAAATCAAGGACCATGACTGTTGTAGGGCCCGAACCGGATATAGGCAGCCAATCAGAAGTCTCCCTTAATCATCCACCGAATCTCGACCTGTGGGCCCGTGGAACCCTGATTCACGTCATTTCTCCAGGGCAGGTTGGGGAACAAGATTCCCCTCCATTTTTATCTTTAATCTTCTTTCTTCCCCCTCCCCTCTTCCTCTTCAGTTTGTTTTTTTTTCTCTCTTTGACAACTGGGTTGCGTTTGCGCAATAGTCATCATGGTTTTAATCGATGGGAAAGAAGTCATCACAGAGGAAGAGAAGCGTCTAAAGGAAGATCGCGAGAGAACCAAGTATTGGAAGGTAAGATCTTTCCGACTTTTGAATCAGCTTCAAGAATGTCTTCTAACCGATCGAAACAGCGCTGGGGACCTTATGTGGTAAGTTGAGGCTTCGGATAGCGGAAACACACAAATTGGCAGTGCTAAAATCTCTTGGATTGGTATAGGCGGAGAGACAGTGGGCCACAGGTGGGAGCTTGCAGATCGTGTCAAATCTTGAAAACCGCAGGCTAATTTCCGATCTGTCATCGTATAGTCAGAGAGGATTACAGCGAGGATGGCGACGCCTGGAACTACTTCACCCACGATCACGCAAGATCGAGAACTTTTCGCTGGGGCGAAGATGGAATTGCCGGTGTATCTGATACACACGGGATACAGAACATTGCGTTTGCATTTTGGAATGGTGAAGAGTAAGTCCAGACTCAGTTTGAACACTGTGGGTCCGATCCCCCACATGGAACCTGACTGGAGTACAGCGACTTCCTGAAGGAACGCCTGTTCGGTTTGTCGAACCCTCAGGGTAATCATGGCGAGAGTGTCAAGGAGGCACATTTCCATGTGGACAACACCCCAACGGTAAACTGATCGATAAAGATAATTCAGTCTGCCTCAGACAATGCTGACCTCGGAGCATAGCATTCCTACATGAAATTCCTCTACAAATACCCCCAGAGAAAGTTCCCGTACCAAGACCTCATTGATGAGAACGCAAAGCGCTCACGTTTGGAGAAAGAGTATCACATTCTTGATACCGGCATCTTTGAGGATAACCGCTACTGGGATATCTACATTGAGACGGCCAAGGAGGCAGACGATGAGGAAGAATTGCTCTTCCGTGTCATTGCCTACAACCGTGGACCGGAGCCTGCTCATCTACACATCATCCCTCATGTCTGGTTCCGAAACACATGGTCCTGGGGTGACGAGAAGAAAAAGGAAAGACCATCCATCAAAAAAGAGGGGCCGATGGTGGCCAAATCAGAGCACAGCACAATCGGCGAGCGATATGTTTCTTTTGCGCCATCACCTCCAGTTGGATCGAATGATGACGATATCCAGCCTCAGATGATGTTCACCGAGAACGAGAGTAACAACAAATTCCTATGGGGTACCGAGAATGACACACCCTATGTCAAAGACGCATTCCATCGCCACATCGTTGAAGAAGAGAAGGGCGCTATCAACCCAGACAATGAAGGTACTAAGTTTGCTGCTTGGTATGCCTTCAACAACGGCGAGGGAATTCCTCCGGGCGAATGCGCTGTTGTCCGGTTTAGAGTGTCCCGTAAGAAAGAAGAAGTTCTGAATGAAGAAGTCCTGGATGATGTGATTGAACAGCGCCGCGCCGAGGCAGATGATTTCTACTACCATCTCAACCCTCTCCCAGTGAGCGAGGATCTCCGCAACATCCAGCGTCAAGCCTTTTCTGGAATGATGTGGTGCAAGCAGTACTACAACTTCATCTGGGATCAATGGAGCAACGGCGACCCAGCTGAAATATCGCCTCCGCCGGGCCGAAAGGGCATTCGGAATGAGCAGTGGCGTCATCTGTACATCGACGACATCTTGTCGATGCCCGACTCTTGGGAGTACCCATTCTTCGCTGCATGGGACACGGCATTTCACTGTATCCCACTGGCCATGATGGATCCCGATTTCGCAAAGAAGCAACTTGACCTTCTCACCCGTGAGTGGTACATGCATCCGAACGGTCAGCTACCTGCGTACGAGTGGAACTTCGGCGATGTGAACCCTCCCGTGCACGCATGGGCAGTGTTCCGCACGTTCAAGATTGAGCGGAAGATGTACGGACGACAGGATTTGGACTTCCTGGAACGTGTATTCCAAAAGTTGCTGCTTAATTTTACCTGGTGGGTGAATCGTAAGGATTCCGGTGGCAAGAATGTGTTTGAGGGCGGCTTTTTGGGACTGGATAACATCGGTCTTTTCAATCGCTCGGAGCCATTGCCCACTGGCGGCGTGCTTGAGCAAGCTGACAGCACTGGTTGGATGGCCTTCTACTCTCTAACCATGCTCAACATAGCCCTGGAGCTGGCCAAGCACCGTCGCATCTACGAGGACATTGCATCCAAGTTCTTCGAACACTTCCTGCTCATCAGTGATGCAATGACCTACCGTTCGGGCGATGACACTGTACAGTCACTCTGGAACGAAGAAGACAATTTCTACTATGATGCCATCTCCTACGGCGGACCATGGACCCAGCAGCTACCCATTAGGTCCCTCGTCGGTCTAATCCCGCTGTATGCGGTTCTCACCCTAGAGCCCGAGCTTGTTAACAAGTTCCCCTCGTTTAAGCGGCGAGTGGACTGGTTCATCGAGAACAAGCCAGATATAGCCGAGCGGAACATCGCCAGCATGAAGCGCCGCGGCAAAGATGACCGACTCTTGCTAGCCCTGGTCAGCAAAGACCGTCTCGTCAAGATCCTTGAGCGAATGCTCGATGAAACAGAGTTTCTATCCAAGCACGGAATCCGCTCCATGTCAAAGTTCCACAAAGACCACCCTTACTCCATGGATGTCAATGGTCAAACCTTCAAAGTCGGCTACGTCCCCGGCGACTCCGACTCCTCCCTCTTTGGCGGCAACAGCAACTGGCGCGGTCCTATCTGGCTTTGCGTCAACTTCCTTCTCGTCGAGTCCCTCCTCCGCTTTTACATGTTCTACGGCGACACCCTGCAAGTCGAGTGTCCCAAGGGCTCGGGCGACTACATGCACCTAGGACATGTAGCGGAAGAACTCCAACACCGCATGCAGCACCTCTTCGCCCGCAACGAAGAAGGCCGCCGCGCTGTAAACGCTGGCTCAGACCTCCTCGATTTCGACGAGCACTGGAAAGACAATCTCTGGTTCCACGAGTTCTTCGATGGCGACAGCGGGCGTGGACTGGGAACATCGCACCAGTGTGGATGGACGGGATTGATCGCAAAGATCATCCACGACACCGGTATCAGTTGCCGTCTACCGCAGACACCGCGGTCGCCCTTCGCCGCTGCATCGCACTACTTTGACGACATCTTCTCCCGTTCTGGACGGCCGCGCGGCACTGGCCGTCCGTCTATCCGCCGCTCGTCGACTACACGTTCCATTGGTAATCGGAGTGACTTCTATCCTGGTGATGCTACGCCTGCTGCATCAACGGTCTTGGATGATGACGATGAAAGTCGTGGTCCTAGTCGTGCTGTCAGTCGCAGGGGTAGCACTGCGGCCCCTGACAACCAGGATCATGTTGACCACTATGTGGAGAGTCAGCTGCAGCGGGTTCGCAGCTCGGCTTCGATTGCTGCGTATGAGGATGAGTTTGAGACGAAGGCTGATAAGGAGAATGAGCAGAATGGACGGTCTTAATTCGGCTTTGGATAGTTGCTGTCCATCTTTTGCATTCCGCTTGTCTTCCATGTGATGATGCGTCTTCCACTTGGGCATCCCTTCCTCCTCTCTCTCCTCTTCTTCTATCTTCTCTCCCAGTCATTTCCTTTGGCTGGTCGCGATTAAAAACGATCTTTTTTGTAGTTTCTGTCCCGTTCCTTTTCTATTTCCTTTTTTTACACGTGTTGCATCTGCTGTCCATCATTTTCAACCCTTTTATCTTTTTTTCGAAGTCATGATCTCTAATGCATTCGATACCGAAGTAAATGTCGATAATATGATTAGGGACTCACTTGCCCCTGCGCCTGGGCGTTTCACAAAATGTTCTCACACACCTTTAGGGGAGGGATATAAACAAAAGAATCATCATGTGGTCTGACCGGCGATCAGAACGGCACATCGGGTTCATGCGATGCGCAAGGCAGGCAAACACCGAGCCAAGCAGATTGTGGGAAAATACACTGCAAACCATCAGCCCGCTAGAACAAGATATCCACCGTACCTTGAAGGGCTAGGCAAAAACAATAAAACATCAATGATAGATGAACTTGTGCAATTGACAAGTAATGAAATCAATAAAAGGTAGAAAAAGGAACCTTGGAACCTCCCTTTCCCTTACGAACGCTACCGTTCATCCGGGACGATATGCTATAATCTAACCATCCCCTCAAACGCAGAGGCTAATTTACATCTACAAAGCATCGGAAAGAGCCTTGTTCATCTTGGCGATCTTGGAAGAAACGCTGAGGTCAACGGTACGGTCGCCAATCTCAACGACGAGTCCACCAATGAGGTCGGGGTTGACCTAGTCAACTTGTTAGCAAACCGTCACACAACGAAAAAAACCCCCATCGTTTATGACGCACCTTGGCAACAACCTTGAGCTTCTTGCCCTGGCTGAACTGAGACTTGGAAACAGCCTTTTCAAGACGGGAGAGGGTCTTGGCATCGAGCTCCTGCGGACGAAGTTTTAGCTTATCCCCATTTTAATTTTTTTTTTGCTGCGACCGAAACACAGCTTCAAGAGCGCGTACCTGAGCACTGGTAATGTTGAGGTCGATCTCGCCGCGGTGAGCACCCATCAGAGTAGCGAACTTCTCACAGACACCCTCGAGGGAACCGAGACGGTTGTTCTCGGCGAGAGTCTCGAGGAAGTTCTTGAGGATACCAGCCTTGTCGGCACCGGCGACCTTAGCGAGCTCCTCGACGATGGACTTCTTGTCGGCGATGGTGAGCATGGGAGCGCTGAGGATGGCGCCGAGCTTCTTGTCAGTCTTGAGGGTCTCGCCGAGGCTGGCGATAGCACGGGCAGTCTGGTCGAGAGCAGCGGACTTGGCGGAAGCGGTGTACTATTGACAAGCATTGTTAGAGGCGGGAATTCAATCCGGGAATTTGCTTTCGGGTGATTTGATGAGGATTGGAAGATTGCTTTTGAAGAGTTGGAACAGAATTGTGGGAGGGGTCGGGGAAAGACGGGGATGTTTGTCGCGAAAAGTCCAAAACCCGGTCGCGACAAGACCGGAGCAATGGAGGTGCATACCAGAGCAGAGGCGTAGGTGCCATCAACGCCGAACAGGGCGACGGGGGCGCGGGTCTCCTGGGCCGGGGTGGCATAGGACCTGATGCCGTTAACGGCAGCGGTGCGAGGAACGGAGAACTGGGTGGCACGCAGGCCAGCGCGGGCGAAGCGAGCGGACATCATAGTGCAATTGGCTGGAGGAGTGGCCTCGAGGAGGGAGGAGAGACGTAGAGGGTTGAATGGGAAGGTGATATCGACGTTCGGAGTGCTTGCTTCAGTCAAGGATGCAAGGTTGAGACCTCCGGGCCGAATGTTCCCGTCATCACGTGCGCACATAAGGTGCAAGTCACGTGAAATTAACTCTGCTTGGCGGCTGCGACGTACAACATACCTTCCGACATCTTTGAGGGTGGTGAAAAATAGCTTGCGGAAATTCTACGCTGGTGGTGTCTTGTTGATTTCATCACTCGTTGGTTCCGTCTACAAAGCTATAATTTTTAGTGCGTTGAACCCGGCCAAATCTCTACTGCTTCGAAAATGATTCTACTGGAAGGCGTAGGTAGGTGGCTTGTGCAACTATGGTAGACTTAACTATCTGAAACACAAAGTGGTACTCATCAGATCCAAATTATGATTCTATGACATTGGGATTCCGCACGAGTTTTGGAGGTCAATCACTCAGACGGAAATACGAGGGTAGAGTCCAACCCAGTGGAGGCCTGTGTTGTAGGGCATTAGTATGCTGATGTTGGCACATTTAGTGGTCAAGCGGTGAATCATGCCCATTGGTGATCACCAGAATACCATTGCTGGTTGGTTTCGCGTCTTGATTCATTTTCTGTGCTGGTTATAGGACCATGGAAGTATAAAACCAGTCTAGACACTGACTGCGTAGGCTATTATAGCCCCCCATAATGATCACTATTGAACCATTGTCTTTCAAAAATTCCGGGACATAAGAAACATCCATGGATTCATCGTTTCGGTTTTCGCGTCAGGTCAAGCCTCAAACGCCAAAAAGTCCAAGCTAAAATACTACAATGCATGCACCGCACCCGAAACGCCGTTAGAATATCCTTTCCGTGAACCAGCCAGTATCGCTGACTGCGGAGACCAGATGCAAAGCACAATTACTACCCAGTTTCCCGATTCAATCCTTAGTCGCTGCGCAACATGCTATCCACCAAATCACCCAGCGGTCCCCAAAAGTCCTTCCCACTAGCCAGCTTGTGCTCGTCAATGAATAGGACATAGTGCTTGAAGCTGGTGTTGAGGTGAGGCTCAAGGCCGAGATGCACTACCACTGGATAATGGTGGCAGTAGATGTGGGCATAGACACGGTATAGACGCTTGAAGATCTGGCGGAGAAGACTGGGGAAGGTCTTGGGGAATGGGACACCTGGGAGAAACACACGGATGAGCACTAGATCTACTATCTACTGGATGACTGCGGAGACCTACCGATCCGGCTAGGGAACATTTGTTCGTTGTCGATGTTGCTCTGAACCCAGGCCATCAAGTGTTCAATGTATTCCGGTGCAGACATCTTGGTTGGCCGCTTGAAATTCTCCGAGTCTTGCCAGAGGTACTCGAACCTATCCGAACTTGTAAGCCGGGAGTCAGCGACTTGCCGAGGAGACACCGTACTCATCTGTAGCCTTCATCTCGGGACACGTCTGCGGTGAGCAAAACTCGGTTATTGAGCCGTAGAGAAGGTTGATCTGGTTGTAGAAGTCGACAACTAAATCACCAAAACATTAGCACATAACACTCAATACAACTCGACAAGTATGTCTAACTATTGACGGCAAGCCATTCATTCTGATCTTCGCCTTCGGGCAGCTTCACGGCTTTGCGCAAGCTACCACTTCCAAGTGTGGCTTCAGCGAACTGTCGTAGCTGATAACTGCTTGTGCCCTTGGCGGCCGATCGGGGCTTGAAGGGGGCGCGTGTGCGTGCATTGCTAGGAGGTGTTAGTCCAAAGCAGCCTTGTTTGAGTGCGCACACCACTGGCGACAGGTAAGATGGAGGTTCCGAGAGAGGAACATGAGAAGTGCGAGTAGTTTGATACAGGGCGAAAGGGCTGATAACGGAAGGGGTGTGGGATTGCGGGGAATGAGAGGTAGGCTCCCCACGGGAAGGGCGATGGGCAACAGGAGGGGTAGTGGGGACAGACATGGTGGTGATAAACGAAGCCATATTCTTTCAGGCTTGAGAAAAATGTAATCACTTTTGGTATGCGGTGTATTTCGGCGGGGCTTGCGCTGACCGCGATGTGCCTACATTCCGATGTCAGACACTAGTTGTTGTCAAAGAATTTGAGGAATGTCATCAGATGTGCAGATTTGCTGGCGTGCAGACAGTACCAATGAACCATACCTGACAATGATTATGGATGATATGACTGAGAGAAAGGCGCAAGGGGAAATTTGTTATCGGGTTTCAGCTCTAAAGGCGATAGAGTGAGATCTGATCCGTTCACTGGCCGCGTTGCCCTAGTTACCCTGTCTACGTCACTGACCATAGGGATATATTTTACACATACTAGGAGAACTATACACATGGTTTTTTTTTGGATTCAATTTTCGCTATGAGTTATATATGGGAATCCAAAGGCTGGCGGGGGCCTATATTCGCAGGAGGTTCTCCCTCGATGGCACAAGGGGAATGTGTGATCAAATGAAACAAAATCAAGCATAACCTGCACGGCAAACAAACACATGTGCACATCTCCTGAAAGTCTAGTATTCTAGATTGGGTAGCCTTCATTTTCCTCAGGCATTCGTTCTCGAACAGTCTCTCCATAAACCGTCAGTGGGATAGCGATCTCGAATGATTCACAGTTCAAATGCTCTATAGCAGACAACACCGTGCCGCGATCATCCAAGGACAAGGCCTCAAGTAAACGAGTGCCCGAGGGTTGAGCCCCTTGCTCGCCTCGAACACTAGATGTCACAAACTCAAACCGCAATTCCCATTCGAGAGTCACACCGCTCGTCAAGATTGAAGGCGTGGCTGCGATGGGGATAGCAGGGCTGAAAGCCACTCGGGTGGCATGGAGTGTGTTCTCGAACAGAGAAGCATGGATGCGCCGTGTGGTTCGGTGGATGCTGGCATTGGACCGGATCGCCAAAGTAGGGGTGACTTTTTCGGAAGTCTCTAACGAGGCTCGCACAGCGTAGCATGGAATTGAGGCATCTCCAAAATCCATAGTGGCAATAATGGTCTCTCCAAGTCGGTGAACTGGTCGGTTCAAGACGACCACTGCGATACGTTTACCTTCGCGGGCAATTTCAAAGCGATTGGGGCTGCGGCGAGAGTTCACGGCCTGATTGCTGCGAAGAATAGCAAAGTCGATGACATCCTTGGTAGTAAGCATCTGGGGTAATCCTTCCACGCTAGGTCGTCTCGACTGCATTGCACCAGGTGGGAACAACGTGTTGGAACGTGCACGTTGTTCCAAAATTTCATCCACAAACCCAAGGAAATCAGCCGCGGAATGGTGAGATTTGTTAATATTTTGGTTTTTCGTTATCTCAGGCATAACTGGCCCGACCTTTTGCACCTTCGCTTCATCCCGTAGAAGAACATAAGGTGACATCAAGTCATGCCCAAGAATGTCTCCCTTCTCTATCAAAACGTGAGAATTTTGGATGGAAAGCAAAGTAAAGTATGGAACCTACCATTCACGCCGCTAAAAACGCGGAAGGGTATATTGATGCGGTTTACCTTTTGGGGCTCGCTAGGCCCGCTAGGCCGCTGGGTTCCAATAACCAAATTATACGAGATCTTGATTGCTTTCCCTTTGTGACTCGCCGGAAGTCCTTTGGGAAGGGAGAATGAGAAGGAATATGACTGTTCCTCCCCTGGTGCCAGTCGGAGGTCAACGAAAAGCAGTGACTGTGAGGTGGACAACAATGGAATTGATCTCGACGATGTAACACCACGCATTTCTCGTAGACCATCCAATTCGTTGTTTGAAAGAAGGCCATTGATAGATTCCTCAATAGTGTTCCATTTTAAAGCGCCCCAGAACCCACCGTTTTTACGTGGTCGCTCGGCTGCTGGCGTTGGGCGGCCCGGAAGTCCGTCTGAACCCGGTTGGCCACCAACGACTCCCTTTCGCTTGACTTCGTCGAAGGCTGACTGGTTAACTAATGATCCATCGACCGTAAAAGATGCATTGACCTGGGCATAGCCCATCAGCAGCGCCTGGCTGTTGGAGGCTTTGGCGGGAGATGCAACTACACTCGAATGATGCCGCACGTGCCGCACGGAAGGGGGGGCTCGCGCACCCTGCGCTGAATAGTTTGTGTACTCGGAACCAAGGGTTTCGGTAGAGTGGTCGCTGACGGAGTAGAACTCCCCGCTGCTCCGGCTGCTCCCATTCACGCTTGTGGTTGATATAATCCGGGTTAGTTGCTGGTGCGACGGCCCAGTCAGACCCTGTGCGTCTCTGACGGTGGGCCTTCCGCCGGTTGATGATGTACCATTCGTAGTCGCCGACTTCGGTGATGGGGTGCGCACGGCGCGAGTATTAGTAGAATCGGTCGAAGGCGTCGCTGGAAACTTGAAATCGAGGGGCGGTGGTTGGAACCGTCGCGAATATGCACGTAATGGCTCTACTGAGCCTATTGGACTAGTCGCTAGAGAGTTAGAGCGGCTGATTCGCTCCGAGTGGGAGGTATCAACTCTCAGGCTGCCATTGAAATGCTCACTAGCAGCCTCGGTCAATGGAAATGGAAAGGCATGGGAGGGGGATCTCGCTAATAAGAGACAGTCATTAGTTGAAGAGCCCCTAAGCACACATTTACACGGTCCATCATCTACCTTTTTTGTAAGAATCCTCATAGCTAGTGTTCCTGCGCGGCAGAACCTGGAGACTCGCCGAGCGCCCATGACCTCTGTTGGCTGACTGATGTCTATTGTAATGATGTGGAGAAGGTGTCGGATCGAGTTGGCCTTCGCTATCAATGGAGAAAATGGAAACGGATCGTTTATGGTTGTGACCTGGTTGCCATGCTCGCGGTGTAGCGGGGCCGTTGTTCGGAGGAAAGCTATGGGAGCCGACCAGCGGAGAGCTCAGGGATGAGGCTGCCCGGTGATTAGGCCTTCGTTGCGAGCTGGTAGAATATGACCGGCGACCAGAAAAGAGAGTCTTGGGAGATTTAAATCCAAAGAAAGATTCCGTGTTCGAGTTCGGTGTGTGGTTCGCGACTCGAGAGATCTTCCGTGAATGTTGACCACCTTCGCCCCCATTATTGGCATCGGCAACTTTATCGGCCACGTTCTTGAATGTTATAGTACATTCCACATTCTCTCCTGCAAATATAGTCTGGTCCTTCCATTTCACGAAGACTTGAATGTTGGATGGCATGGCGGTTGTGTCAGCATGTGGGCTGCAGTTCGTGAGGGGCCAATGCCTGGGGGGAATTGCCGGCACGATGAGCTGAAATTTGGTTGAAGCTTGGTGAAATGTGCCGCCACTAGCATTCTGTCAACCCGAATGAGCCATGCTGGTTGTAGAGTTGAAGATGTGTTGCCGGGGGAGTTGCGTGGCGATGATATCCTTGCTCCTAGCTCCACCCCGAACCTACGGGCCAAATGACATATGATACCCACCTCACGCTGCAACCAACTACTATAGTAAATGTATTGTTTATTCCCAAAATAAAACCAGGGAAAGGGCACGGGTGATATCATTCGTTGTACAGAGACTCTAAATTACATGGTATGAAGTACACAGATTCTTATCTTCGCTCGCGATTGTTGTCATCATACAGGACATGGAAGTCTGAAAGTGTTCGCGTGCGGTTGGTCGAAGGGCGAAGACCAAGCTCAGCCATACGACTCCAGATTCTATCATGCCGGTTCTCCCATCGCTTGCGCCGACTCTCCATCTCATCCTCTGACGGGCGCCATTTGCTCTTCAAAATTCGGCGAATAGCCTCCGGGGACATTTCAAACTCTTCCGCAAGGACAGCGGTCGTGAATTGTTCGGGGGCCTTCGCATGAAGATGACGAATTCCATCGAGCGCATCAGGTGAAAGCTTCTTAGGTGGGTTCCAACCACCGGCGAACTTCTCCTTTAAAGCCGCTTTTTGCACTTGCCAGGTCTCGGGTTTTCTTTTCCCCTTGTTCTCTGAAATTTGTTTCACTTTTTCGGCCCTGTCTTGCCAATCCTTGCGAGGGTGCTTTTTGGCCTCCCTGCGAGTCTCGTTGCGGAAAGCTCTGCGCTCTCTGTCGGTTCTTCCGGTGTTATCTGGGTCCCTTCGCTGGTCCTTGGGGTGACGCTTATGATTGTTCAATACACCTTTTTTGCCATCTGAATCGTAATCTCTCTTTTTCGGTATTTTGTCTTGTAAAGACACGATGTCATCGGCGACAGCCGGAGTTTCAGGGGCTGCGAGCGCTGATTCACTAGAAGGATCGCACAAGCGCGCCATTGAACTGAATGATTGTTGGAGCTGGATATTCGAAATGAAAAGACGACCAAAGGCAAGAGGTCGGTGATGTGGGATTACTGAAGAAGCGCCCGAATCATTGAAGAACTGAGAGCGGAAAACATTGCGCAGAACAGCAGGCAGAGCCGGCCTCGACGAGGCAGCACATTTGGTGGCCATCTTAGGAATTGCGTGAAGATGGAATAGAAGCAAAGTTGACAGAGGATAAATGTAAGATATCTGGAAGTTTACTCAGCAAAGGGAAAATATCCGGTGCCGATAAGATAACTAACGTAATTCCCAAGCGAGCTGGCCACCCAAGCGAGCTGGAC